AGCGAAATTTTCAATAAATCGAACACTCGTATCGTTCGATTTATTTGTTCCGGAGATAAAACATGCGATTTACGTTTCGACACCTTGTCTTTTGATTTATGTTTTCGCTCAGAAAAGCCAACATTTTCGCTATGTGCAATCAAATTTTTATATCGTTTTGGACCAATATTATAAATAAAACAAAACATCGTTCTACAGACAGAAAGGCCCCGATATGAATACATTATATCTAATCTAGATTTACTTTTCGATCTTTCACCATACTTTTTCCGATTTTTTTCGTTATACCCACTTCGAGTGATAAATGTTGTCGATGAAATTCTTAATGGCTTAAATAAACCAAATCTTGGTCTTCTTTGCTCATTTCTTCAAAAAATTGTCTGCTTGTTACAGCAAGATTTTCTGGTATGATTTTATTGCATTTGTTGGAACAGCACGGTTCAGCATCTTTTCCATACATTCGTTCAATAGTAATAGTTTCTTCCAAGTCGTCGACTGACTGCTCTATTTCGATAGCGCTTTTTGAAACATCATTATCAACGAAACTTTGATTTTCTGTTACCACCGAAATATTCGCACTAACACTTTGAAACGAAGTTTCAACTTCATCGGTATGGTATATCGCATCTAACACTTGGAAGTCTTCATCACATGCATTCAAATTACTCATTTTTATAAAAATTACGTTAAACTGACATCGGCTTAGCAAAAAAATTATGGAGAAACAAAAACTGCGAAAATTATACTGATAAGAATCAAGCGTCACAACAAACAGAGCAGCAACAGCTCAGGGTATCGTCCCACTACTAACACTACACTGAAACAGAAAATAATGTTCGAGAGGGGAATGACGTCACTAAAGTGTGTACCCAATCAGAATTTACTATACGCTGTGTCTAGGTACACGCTAACGTGTACGCAAATTAAAAAATTATATACACGCGAAACGTCATCACAGCTATGACGTCACGTTTAGCGTGCGTATATTGAACATTATTCGGTACACGTTAATAACTTGGAAGTTTTAAGCTTGTATAAGAATTGTCGGTTTGTTCTTATTATCTTAAGTTTATAATTTAATCATTCACTTTCAACAAAAGAGCATATTACATCGCACCCCGGCGAGAATAGTCGCACTATCAAAAAAATTATAAAAATTTATTCTTTATTAATTTATAGTTTTTACGCATAACAAAATGAATACTTTTGAGTTGTTCACCGTTTTTCCCATATGTAATAATAAAATGTCCGTCATATTTCTGTATCAGCAATAATAAATAGGTATAATTTTGTCGTAATAAGTTATAAATAATGTAAATAATACAGGTCATCCACGACGACCATCCATTAGAACTATACAGGATTTTGGCCAAAATAAAAATTTGAAAATATAGATTTAAGTATTATCAATTGCGTTCTCTTCGACTAAAATATTTTCAGATTTCTAGCACTTTCGGTTATACCGGAAGACGCCACCTACTTTATTTTTTTAAGTAGAATATCCTGTATATTTTTATATATTTGGATTTGTCTGTTTTCAAGGTTTATGAATAACTTTGCTTTTTGCAATTTGATCTGATTGCATTTTTCTAGAAAAATTGTTGTGGTGTTTATGTATTCTCGGAGGATCAGTAAGGAAAAAATAAACAGTTTGATATTTGCTAAAGCTATGGTTTATTTCTGTTGGTGTGATGACTAGGTTACTTTTTGTAGTGATTTGTTCTCAAGAAATGCCACGAATTTAGTAATGAGGAATGAATACTTGGGCTTGAGGAAAACTGTCTTTTATCACATTTCTTTGTAGTAGATCCTTATCACCCATGAAACATTTTATTTGATTTTCACAATCAGAATTCTCTTCTTTAAAGGTGTTCAACAACCAAGAAAATGTTTCTTTGTCCTCGTGCGCTGTTATAACAATTGCTACTATTTCACTTTGACCATTTGAATCCTCTACAATCATAATAAATACTGTAAATCCTATATTTAATAACTTGTAAGTAGCATCTATTGACACAAATTCTGGCCATAATTTCATTGCCCTTGTCATGGACTCAGTTGAAAAATAGAGGACTTTAAAATGATTTTCAGAATCATGTAAGATGTATATGTTATATTATGCAAAAAAAGTGGTTTATAACCAAAGGACTGCTACATCCATTGTTGTGACAACCTTCCCGCAAACTACGTCACACCATTTTCCACGCCCAGCTATTGTTATGGTCTATGCGTTTACTGTATTTTTAAAGGTTTGGGTTATATCCTAGACGTCTTAATATTATTTTTGAAGTTTTATGTTTTTAGACGTATTAATGTCTATCATATAACCTCTAAAAACACAGACAGTTACCAGGCGTGGCAAATAGTGTGACGTAGAGTGCGGGCAACCAAACCTTTTCTTAAAAGACGCACGGCAAAACCCGAAAGTTTCTAGTGTTAGTTCTAATTTTAGTTCAAATAAATATGTAAAGTTGTTCGAAACAGGGTAACACATCACTTTATTAAATGAAGTGACATTACCTTGTGCTTTCCCGAGAAAATTCAACAATACCAACATCAAAATTATAAAGTTCTAACGTGCACCGAAAAATATTCAGATCGACAATACCAACCTCAAAATTATGAAGTTTTAACGTGCACCGAAAAATATTCCGTATGTGCACGCTAAACCTGACGTCATCGCGGTGATGACGTTTAGCGTGTACCTAATTTTTTGATTTACGTACACGTTAGCGTGTACCTAGACACTTCCTTTACTATACTGCATCGCTTCTCTTAACTGAAAGAATATTCACACTAAGAATGCGTTGCGATACTTTAAACGCGTTTATCTCGGAACTATGTTTTCGCACACTAGGTCCCTTTTGTCGGACGCGGTCACATATGTATAAACAGATTTGTAGTGTTTTCAATAGAACTAAATGTTTATGGGCGCTTATAAATGTACATTAGAGTATGTACATTAGTTTTCAAGAAAGATACACGGCCCACATTAAGAACTTAACTTAACATTAAGAAAAAACATATTAATAACAGGATTCTCAATTTTCTTGACAATTTGGCAGTTATCAGTAATTGCGTGATTGAATAGTTTTTGACCTTAAAACCGTCTTTAGACGTTTGGTTCCCTCAACCCAATTTTTTGTGTAATAAGTTATAGTGCATGGGCATACTAGATCCAATCGTNCTTAAATCGGCGATTTTTAAAAATGTGTAATTATGAAATAAACTCTGGACAAAAGCAAAAATTTTGGTAAAATTAAATATAAAACGTTCCTTTATAACCTCAAAGAGTCCCATTTCTTAATTTCGATCTGTTTCGTAGATAACGATTTGTTACTTTAACCTAATTTAAAAAAAAACATCGATTCAATTTGGCGCTTTAAGTTAGCACAAAATCTTATTTATCTCATGAACGGTTACACATAGAACTTTTAACAAAGAGCACTTTTTTGTGTAAAACACATCAAAGAATTTATTTATGTAAATTTATGTAGTAAATTTTGGTCAAAAAATCAAAAAATGTTTTCAGTACCTTCCCCCTCGAAAGCCTTATCTATCAGCTTATCTCTTCTCACAATAACGCGAAAACTCCAGTCTGAACTGCGCTATTACGAATATGGTTTACAATTTTCACACAGTGATCTAAAAGAGTGTCTAATTTTTTGTTTATATTTTTGGATACCAACTGTTCCCGATGATGAATGCAGTGGGTTGCAATTGCCCAATGTGTGTAACTACACCTGTGTTTTTTCCTACCATCGCCACTGCTCCATCCGTCTAAGGAATGTCTTTAGACTCAATGTATGAATTTTTGGCACCAAAAACTTCGTAAGATGTAGTGTAGGATTGTAGTTTTAAGGTGCATAATAATTCTTTTTTCATGTCCTCCAACTCAAAATCAATACATCTCACGTGTCCTATTAATAACTGAAAGGCATAATATGGCGAATCTTCCAATTCTTATCAATTAGTTGTAATTCCAGGTTATTTGTAATGCTAAAGTGCTCGTCTGCTTACTGTTTCAGCAGACATAGGAACGATTTGAATAATGCAAAACGATTTTTTATTGCTAATCAGATTTGTAGTGTTTTGAATAGAACTAAATGTTTATGGGCGCTTATAAATGTACATTAGAGTATGTACATTAGTTTTCAAGAAAGATACACGGCCCACATTAAGAACTACAAATCTATAGCTATTTGCAGTATGTTCTCTAAGGTATTTAAAAAAACTTATTAGTAACAGGATTCTCAATTTTCTTGACAATTTGGCAGTTATCAGTAATTGGGTGATTGAATAGTTTTTGACCTTAAAACCGTCTTTAGACGTTTGGTTCCCTCAACCCAATTTTTTGTGTAATAAGTTATAGTGCATGGGCATACTAGATCCAATCGTGTATTGGATTGGCTTTTCTATTTGAACATGTCGCTCTCTCAGAATGGTGTTACCGAACGTTTGTTCGGATGAGTTTTGGGACCATTGCTGTTGTAGTTGCGGATGCAGATCTAGGTCAATTAAAATTAAAGATTGATTCTATTATGGATAAACTGTCTATTTCGTGTGAGCATAATGGAATTACGATGAATATTGATAAAACGGTTTGTAATAATTTTTATAAGCGTCGAACATTGCCAGCTAAATTTGCTGAAGAATTTGAATTGGCGCATCACACACAATTTCTTGGCATGCTCTTAGATTATAGGCTATCACTTGAAAAACACATAGAAGTGGTGTGCAAGAAAATTAACTTAGCTTATTTACTATCCTGAAATAAAAAAAATTACTTGTAAATTCACTACTATATATGTATTACGCACTATACTACTCTGCTAATTTTTATAGCTTATATATTACTGGTACAGTAGAATCGCATATTTGTGGCACAGAAACGAGTTAATAGATCGTTTGACTTGCGTATGATGAAATCATGTTTAGATTCTTTTAAGAATCACTCAATACTCACACAATAAGTAACATATTAATATTTATTTTTTTAGAGGAAATTCGATTATATTTTGGCGAATCGATCGCGTTATACTTTACCTTCCTGGGGTATTACACCATGGCGCTTATTGTTCCTGTTATTTTGGGATTTCTTCAGCTGCTTCTCTCGATCGAAACAGTTCCCTTTTTCTGCATATTTAATGTAGTTTGGGTAACCGTATTTTTGGAAGTATGGAAAAGGAAAAGTAACGAGTTAGCTTTCCAATGGGGTACAATCGGTATGACCAGTTTGGATTTACCCAGAGTAAATTTTCGTGGTCCCATGTCTTCGGATGAGGTGACGGGAAAGTTGCAACCTCAATACCCCAGATGGAAAACTAACGTAAAGGTATCTTTTTCGTAAAAATTTAATTTATTGTTGTTTATTTTAAACATTAATTTATTTTTAGATGTATTGCGTTTCACTTCCAATATCATTTTTATGCACCCTCGGTTCCTTTGTGATAATGTTGGTATCTTTTTGGATTGAAGACGGCTTAAAGAACATCGATTCAAGATGGGCTGCTCACACCATTCATATACCAAGCATCGTTTACACCGGAGTCGTGTACGTTATGAATGTATATTATAGGAAATTAGCAACTTTTCTTACTGAATGGGGTAATTAAAAAATTAAATCAATTAAAAAAATAATTTAATCAAATTATTCCAGAGAATCATCGAACTCAATCTCAATACGATCGACATCGAGTAACCAAATTAGTACTTTTCGAATTCGTCAACAATTTTATGTCGCTTTTTTACATCGCTTTTATCATCCAAGATATGGATATGTTAAGAACTCAATTGGCGACAATGTTAATTATTTTACAAGCGATTAATAATCTTCAAGAAGCCGTCCTTCCATTTATTTGGAAATTTTATGTTACAAAAGTAACTCAACTGAGAAAACTTTTCTCGTTTCTTAGCAAACTACATTCAAAAAATGTCGATAACCGCTACATGTCAACAAATGATTTTAAAGAAGAACCTTTAAAAAATATACCTCAATTGGAAATCGATGATCCAAGGGTGAATATTGCAATCCGCGAAGGAGACATGGAAGAATACGAAGGAACTTACGACGATTACCTCGAAATGTTTATCCAATTTGGATATGTGATTTTGTTTTCGTCGGTTTATCCGATCGCGGGATTTTGGGCAATTTTCAATAACGTTTTGGAAATTCGAGCGGATGCTTTTAAACTTTGCATGGTCTATCAAAGACCGATGGCTAGAAGAGTTAAAGATATCGGTGCTTGGCAACGTTGGTTTAGTATTGTAGGTGCGATTTCGATACTAACCAATTGTGGATTGTTGTTTTTAAGTCCGCAAATGCGAAGGAAAGGATCAAATTTTGGTCAAGTGGAATGGGTTTTGATCTTTGTACTTTTAGAACACTTTTTGCTGGCTCTTAGGTACATTTTGCATATTACGATTCCGGATAAACCCCTCTGGGTTCGAGTTGCTTTAGCGAAAAGGAATTATGAATCAAAACAAGCACTCAAACATGAGGTAAGATTACTAAATCTTTCTTTTGCTCAATTAATTTTTTTTTGTTTTTTAGAGATCTCAAAAATGCCGACGTTTATTAACTAGGAAGTTTAAAACCGTGCACGGTTCGCATGCACGATAATAAAATATCTAAATTGCAACAAAAACGTAAAATAACATTTATCCACAGATTTAAACCAAAAATTATGTAATAACTTATCGAACTATAATAGAAAATTTTTGACATACAAATTGTGCGTTATTTTATTAAAGAATATTAAAAGTTTTTATTTATTTTCATGCTAAAATTAAATATTCTGTAGGTAAGAAAGGCTGGCTAGGTGTAAAACGAAAGTAGGAGGAAAGAGAACGTTGTAGTTGGTTGTTCTATGTGGTCGACCTCAACTCCCATCCAGTACCAAACAGATCGCGATGCGAGAAATACCACGACCAAATAAGACCGTGACGGAAAATATAGACGCAGACTGTTGTTTTTTAATTGAAAATCTTTGATAAAATGCCGCAAAACTATGAATATTAAATGTATTTTTTTAATTTAAAGCAAAAAATTAAAAGGAACCATGTGGAAGCTTAAGAATTTTGAGAAATGTTCGTTAACTACTAGTGCAATTACCGTTTTATTGTTGGTGCTTTGTGTTTGTTCAACTGTGAAATCTCAAGGGTAATTTTAGTTTAGTTTTATAAAAAATAATTTTTAATAAAATTAAATTATGGTCATAAAGTAAACACCGATTTATTTACTCTTTGAATGTTTGTAACAATGTTTCTTTAGAATAATGATGTCATTGATTATTTTTAAAAGGTGAGTTGAGTCTACAGGACTTATTTAGACATGAATGTCATCTGGTTTATCAACCTACATGCAGTTATACCATACTTTTAAGATTTACGTATTTGAACAGTTACTTATATGGTGAAAGTTGTACAAAAAAAAGAGAAAGTATAATGGAATAAAAACTAAGTAGTTTGGAAAGCAATGCAGATATTGTTAAAAAAATACATGATTGATAAAATTACGTAATCAATTAGGAATCAATTACATGATGAAAACTATTTCGTAGAAAGAAGGAAGAATGAACGTAATAAGTTCATATGGATAATTTAAAAATAACATTAGATGATGCTTTAAGACACTTTTTTTTTCAAATGGCAATCCCCCATTTTTATTACGAAATATGAACGAGGATTTTTTTCTGAATCTAGTACAGTCAACATTAATATTGGTTACATAAGAAAATTTCCAAGAAAAATATTTTAAAGTTTACTTCAAAGTTGTTTAAATAATAAAACTGCCATGAGTAAGCCATTTGAGTAGCCATCAGTAAGTATGGTAACCAATTATTTTAAACAATTCCTGATTTAGTAAAGCTTCTTGAAGTGTAATTGAAGTTATTAGAATAACTGCCGTCGGAATTGAGTTATGTCAATATTATCAGGAAAAGGCCGTTATGGAAGGAATGATATCGTTTTGAAAAAATCTAAACATCTGTATCCAATTAAGGTTTCCTCAAATTTTTTGCGAATATTGGGTGTGCGACTTTCTTGGCTAATTTGGATTTTGGGTAGCCCAATACCGACGATTTTATCTACTTATTTGTCCACTCAATATAAATGAATCGCTTATTACTGAAACAACTAAAATCACTTTTTATTACTTTTCAGGAAACGAAAAAACATTTCATATGAAAACTAGTACTTTTTAGAAAATTTTAATACTTTACAAACCTAGGTTTGTACTTTAGGTAATATACAACTCAAAATTCTTGGTCAAAAAAAAAATTGACTTAAATTGTTTTTCAAATAAATTTATGAATTCAAAATTTTATTTCACACGAAGGAACAAAAGTTTACATTAACATAAGACACAATTGCTTAGTTGTGGTTTGTTTGGGCTCCTTGATCTTGGTATTTTCAAAAATTTCTTCCTAAAATTGTTTATAATGCAAGCAATGTTTTGATATTTTTAAGTTTCGTTTCTAAGATTGGTAAATTATTATTGTAAGTTTTTTGTTTTAGCAATTATATCTATTATTTGCTCTTTTGGGATGAGTCAGCTTAAAGGTGTTCCAAATGAATTCATTAATATAATCACTGACCATAACAACGCCAGGATTTGTTGCTTCATGAACAAAGTGGTGAAATTTTAACACTAAAAATGGAATTCTTTCATCTCTAGAATGCTTTTCAATTTCATCTGAAACACATGTAGCCTTGTAGTATTTTGGCCAGCAGTTTTTATAATCTATATCTTCAATTGCAACTTCCCATACAGTAAAGGCATTATTGGCAATAGAAGTTATAATAAGTTCTGTAAATGTATGGACATCATAAACTTGGTCAACTTTCTGTAAGCTTCTCTTAATAAACCCAAAATCTCTGTCACAGGACAAAAAAGAATGTCTCGCAAGGGGTAATGCAGTGGTATTACCTTTTGAAATCTTCCGCTTTCAGTTAAGGTCATGCATGCTCTTATTATGCAGTGATTCTTGTTTTGCCCTGGACATTTTCAGACAACAATCAGAGTTCTTTTACATCAAAAGAAACATACAGGGATCTGTGGCAGTTGTAGATTCTGCATGTAATCAAATGCAATAGCTGCAAGATCTTGTCGTTCTTTACATTCTTGTGCACTCGTTTTTAAAGCATTGTGGAACTTGCTCACTCGTTTTTCATGAATAAGCTTTTCAGCAACAGTGGCTCTTTTTGCATTATCTCCTAGAGATGGACTCTTAATTTTAAAGACCACATTCTTATCGTACTCTGTGCGCAATGGATGGTCGATCGCGTTACTTAAGCGAGTTTGAGTGAGGAATGTTTGTGGGTATGCACATTGAGGGTGTATCGTTCTGTGAAATTGCGCGTCGTCTCGAGCGGTCGTTATCGGCAGTGCAACGGGCATGGCGAGNTTGTTTCATCTCTAGAATGCTTTTCAATTTCATCTGAAACACATGTAGCCTTGTAGTATTTTGGCCAGCAGTTTTTATAATCTATATCTTCAATTGCAACTTCCCATACAGTAAAGGCATTATTGGCACTAAAAGTTATAATAAGTTCTGTAAATGTATGGACATCATAAACTCGGTCAACTTTCCGTAACCTTCTCTTAATAAACCCAAAATCTCTGTCACAGGACAAAAAAGAATGTCTCGCAAGGGGTAATACCACTGCACCTTTTGAAATCTTCCACTTTCAGTTAAGGCCATGCATGCTCTTATTATGCAGTGATTCTTGTTTTGCCCTGGACATTTTCAGACAACAATCAGAGTTCCTTTACATCAAAAGAAACATACAGGGATCTGTGGCAGTTGTAGATTCTGCATGTAATCAAATGCAATAGCTGCAAGATCTCGTCGTTCTTTACTTTCTTGTGCACTCGTTTTTAAAGCATTGTGGAACTTGCTCACTCGTCTTTCATGAATAAGCTTTTCAGCAACAGTGGCTCTTTTTGCATTATCTCCTAGAGATGGACTCTTAATTTTAAAGGCTAATTCTTCACACTTGTTGCATGGGTCTACTTGGGGATGACCGAAATGCAAATTAAAATTGTCACGAAAGAACTTAATGTAGTAACTTTATTTAATTTTTGTGCCTGGAAGTTTTTACATTAAGCCGTGCATCTAGATACTTGAACTCCTTTCCAGAATAATGAGATTCTTTATTAACTGAAAATGACAAGATATGAGTTCTAACAAGCTCTCTTTCACTTCAAGGCATTTCATTTCATATTTGTACCCCGTTTATCACGAGGAATTTCATAATTCACAAGTAAACGTTTAATTCTTTTAATTCGTTCCAAGCTAATACAATGAATACTTGCAAATGCTCCTTGACAAACCTTTCTTTTTTTTTTTTCTTCGATATTAACAAAATGTAGAAACGATCTCTTTCTATTCATCCCATTTTCCTTACGTTTTCATCTTTTAGCTACAGTTATAGCTTGCAGCAGCCCTTGCAGATAAATGTCTGGCTCAGTTATTGATATCATACTATAAAATTTTGTAAAAATTAACTTCTTCTGTGCATCACTTATAACGTCAATGCATTTCATTGGACAACTAAAAATAATAAGAATGTAGCGAATGTGTTAACACTAAAATAATAATCCAAATATCTCTCAAATAATACTCACTAGCATCTAGCTCCAATACACTTTGCCTTCACAACTTACTTCTTGTAATTAATTATTCTATTCCGGAGACACGAGCATTCCTTATAAAATTTCTTTGTAATTACTACAATTTCTAACACCTTCTTAATTCTAAAAATAAAAACAATTCGTAAGTAACTGAAATAAACTTTGTAAAACAACAAATAAAACAAAAACTATAAAAATAAAATATTTTTTATATTAGGTGTTCAAATAAACCACCATTCTGTGCTAAACAATAGCCCAATCTATCGTAAAAAGTTCGCCTTACATTCGCTAGTATATCGGGACTAATATCTGTACACAATTGCGAATTTTTGTTTGTAAGTCATCCAGATTGGTTGTCCTTTCTTCATCAAAACCATAAATTTTCGATTTTAAATATCCCCATAGAAAAAAATCATTGGGGGCTAAATCTGGTGATCTAGGCGGCCAAGTTAACGTTCCGCAAATAGATATTACACGATTTGGAAATTGTGCGTTAAGATACTCTTTAACTTGCCGGCTGTTGTGAGCCGGGCAACCATCTTGTTGGAACCAGATANCGACAACCGAGCATTATGGTATGGGGTGCGATTACATATTGTGGACGTACACGTCTGCTGCGTGTATAGCAGACCATGACGGGTCAACGATACGTAGATGAGGTGCTACGGTCCGTTGTGCTTCCCTACGTTCGGCGGCTCCCAGGTCTGCTATACATGCACGACAAAGTACGACAGCACATCGGGCGTGTTGTACAGACCTTTGTGGAAGCTAGCTCGGATTCCACATCTGAATCCGATCGAACATGTTTGGGACATGACTGGTCGGAGACTTCTACGTTATCCGACTTCCTCGGCTAACGTTGAGGAGCTATGGAGGCGAGTTTAGGTGTCATGGTTGGCCATCCCTCTCGCTACAATATAGCGACTTATAGTCTCCATGCCACGTCGTGTAGCGATGGTACGCGAAGCTCATGGGGGATACTCTCGCTATTGATGTTTCTCCTCCCAGCAGAGTTGTGCCGTTCTCCATGTGAGAGTAAGTTACACTACTTTAGTACTACTTCTATACCAAATTTTATTGCGCTAGACACACGCGTTCAGATTATACAGGGTGTGCTCGTGAATTATTTCCAACAGTGTAATTAACTTTGACAAACGATAAACAGCGCGAACTTATTTTGGAAGGCTAAGTTTCAGCACGGCATGACACGCCTAGCCATCATTTGTAAGAGAAACAACCTAAATCGGCGACTTATGTTGTTTCAACTATGGTGACATGGCTGTAATTCAGTAGCAGTTATCAGCACATAAGTTCTTTCAGCACCAAACAACGGGGAATGGTCTAAACTGTATGTTTACATCGATAACCCAAAATGGCCAAAAAGTGACTTAGGTTGTTTCAGCAATAACCGATTCAAATGTTCCCTCGTCGCAAAAATTATTCTTTAGACAAAGTCTTCAACGTCGTTGCAAAAACTACAATTTATTGCTCGTGAATGAGGTTTAGTTTATAGGAATGATATTTTGCGGGTTTTAAAATTTTGTGAACCGTTGATTTGCTAATGTCCAAATTAGATCCAATCCCCTCACAATAACATGAGGGCTTGCTTGCCCAGCCAAAACCACGATTTATTGAACCTCCACTGAAACATTTGGTAGGCCAGACTTCGAGAAATGCCCATGCTTTTCAAATTTAGTCACAGCTAGGCTCACCATACTTTGGATAATGAATTGGCGATCAGGATATGTTGTATTAAAGAGGGTCACTACTTACTAAAACAGTGACAATGATAACTTTTTCTTTTACCAAAGTTTCCTAAACTTACAACTACACTAGTTTCAGAATTTTTATATCAACAAGTTTTATATCTTCTTGTTGCTAATAATTAGCATAAATAAAATAAATTCTTCTATGTTTCTTTGTTGCTGCTAGACCAGCTTCCATTTAATTTCTTTATAAGCGAGATTTGAGTTAATGGCCCTAAAAAATTGCCGATTAATTCTTGATGGAATTCACTGACTCTATATACGCGAGTGTGGTCAGCTATATGATGACATAGGAAGCAACACTTGGTAAAGGAAAATTTTAGGCTACCAGTAATTTCAGGCTAAATCTTGTTTCCTCATATATCTACAGTTTGAGCTGGGTAAAACACTTACGATACAAGTAACGATATACAGGATGAGTTATTAGTATCCCGGCGGTCGATAGCTTATAAATCGTTTGAGAAAGAAGAAAATGTGTTATACAAAAGTCATACTAATAAGATGATATCAAAACTCACCACTTTCTATAACGTAAAATTATTTTCATTTATACAGGGTGTTGCATTTAGGCCCTCTATATTTTATAATATTATGAATACAACTAAATTTGTTTATCCAACCGTATATGTTGCAAACTCACAGTGCTAATAGTTCCTGAGATATTCTATTGCTTTTTAAAAACGATGTAAAAATGTTATTTTTGCCGATTTTCCTTTAAACTATGTCAGATAATAGTCACAGCCAGTAGGTAGATGATAGTATCCAAGGATATTAGATACACTATACAGCATCTTCATACAACTTTGTAAATGTTGTAAAATAAACTGACAAAATAGACAGAATGCAATATTAAGTACAATAATGGCATACTTTATTACACAGTTTTCTTTAAACTGTAAATATCAGGAAAACTACTAAAGTTACACATATGACATACTTAACATTACTTAAAGGAAACTTGATGGGTAATTCAATCAGCACATAATATACAGGGTATTCCATTTAAAAAATGTATAGAAAAACCATTTGAAGAACATTAAAATTTACAAAGTTTTATGGACACGCTGTATACGGTATCTAATATCTTTGGATATTATCATCTACCTACTGGCTTTGACTATTATTTGGCACAGTTTGAAGGCAAAATCAGAAACAAATGTCGTTTTTACATAGTTTTTAAAAAGATCCTGCAACGGACATGTTTTAGAAAAATAATTGACTATCACAAGAAGTATTAACGCTATGATTTAGCAACATATACGGTTGGATAAATAATATGATAAAATGTACTGGGCCTAAATGCAACACCCTGTATAAATGAAAATAATTTTAGATTATAGAAAGTGGTGAGGCAAACAACTTTTGTTTAGAATATTTTTTTTATCTCAAATGATTTATTAACTATCGATTTCCGCGATACTAATAACTCATTCTCTATACTGGACCATAAGCTCAACATAAATCAACGAACAGGCTGTTTTATATATCTATTCACAAACATACAGAGAAATGTAATGTCCGTGACACGTTAAGTAAGGCGCTAAAATCTGTTTAGAAAAGAATCAATAAACGTTTTTTCAGATAGTTAAGGCGGTCTACACTAATTCAAGACAACATTGTCTTTAATTGTTTCATTATTTTACTTCTTTCACGGTATGGTAAGTTCAATTAATATTCTTTGGCACACTTGTATAAATAGGCTGTGTGTTACCGTAAATCCGATTTCAATCCCAGCGGAAAGCACGTGTGCATCGAACCAATAACACCACGTAGCTTAACTTACTATATTTATTGATAACATAGTATGATTACTCAGTTGTTGCTTTTAGATTTGTATTGTGTGATACAATAACCATATAGATATGTCGATGGATATGTCGTACTGATAGAAAGCTTCCTTGAGAAACTCCAGCTTTTACTTCTCTGGTTGTTGAGGTGTTGTGGCTATTAATACGTACAGTAAAGGTGCTATCTACCAAATACAGGCAGTTTGGTAGATCTATATTATTTACTTTGTATATCAATCGCCTATGTATATTTAAAACCTCTCCCAATACCATATCGAAAGTAGACGAAGGATTATTAGATCTAATGGAAAAACTAAGAATAATTAAAAAAACAAACACACCGGTATGTGTCCCGTAGATTGATGGAAACACATTGATTACAAGACTACAGTCAACTCAGTTTTGCAAAATGCTGCATACCCAATTCCTACAAAATTTCCAGAGGAATTGTAATTAAAGAATATACAGGAGCACATCTCAAACCTGCACATCACCGTCGAGCCTCTCCAGCTACTGAATAACGATCGCTTAGTTAGAAGATTATAAGACTTATTAAGACTGGTGTAGTGAAAATTGCGTATTCAAGAAATAGAAATTTGTCACGCAGTTATTAAATTTAGCAAAAGAAAAAGAAAATAATAAATACAATATTAATTGTTAATCATTAATTTGATTGTCAATGATCGAAAGAACCCGCAATTCGCTACAAGTAGTAGTGAAAGTGATAGAAACCTCAAACCAAAGCTAATATCATAGGATAAGTACTTTCTTATATAACCGTAGTAGATTAAGTTAAAAACAAATTAACGTTTGATTATTGGCGTTATGATATTTAATCTAAAGAAAAAATAAATATACGTTGCTATCCCCTCCTATCTTTAACACAAATCTATTGGTAAATTTTATAATACGTGGTAAGTTTTGGTTTATATGCGCGGTAGTTTATATGCCTTACAATATCAGTGATACTGGTCACGTAATCAGTCTCATAAGACTGTTATTCTTATGAGTGGTGCGCAACGAGGGCGATTAACTTATTTGAATATTGTTTATTTCGTAGTTTTAGTAAATTATTAAAAACTTCTACCGCGTCTCTTTTATTATCGCATATCTCGAACTTACATAAAATTTAGTAGAGCACATAGTATTATTTCTATTTACTTTGTAGAAGTATCTTATTTAATTTATGTTTCTTTTAAAATATTATCTTTGATTTTGAAGGTATGATATTTATGATATACACTTTGGAAGTAAATGCTTCTTTATTGTAGACAAGTCAGTCACAAAGTGTAAGCACACCGTCTCTTGTATACCGATTGTGCCGGCCGCTATCACGACTTAAATTTTTCATACATTTTCCGAAAACTTTTATTTATGGTGGAACCTTTTGACTTCTTTGAATCTCAACCTATATTTTAGGCAATCTGATCCTACATTCATTTGAAATAATTCAATTTGGCCAATCTAAATAGATCACCAATACATTAAGAGATGTATCTGGATACATTTATAACCAACTGTGAGGAAAATAGTTTGCAAATGTTTCATGTTCTCCTCTATTATTTTCGCATGTTATGAACAAAAATAGTGTTTTAGTGGTTTTAGTGTTGATTTCAGAAAAATATTTTAAATATTCTTGTGTCACCCAGTGAGCAAAAGACGTAACAAAAGATTTACACATTGTATATGTGTAGGTTCCTTCGACGGCTGCTTGACACTCCCACTTCTTCTTACTCTGTTGTTTAAGTAACGTATATCAGATGGCAGTCGTGTACAATAGGAACGGAATGAAGTATAGCAAAAACAGGGGCAACCCCCAATCTGTTACCTAGTTCTTTTCAATCCGGTCAGTCTTCTTTATCATTCTTTATTGTGACGACTGTAACTTACTGTTCTTTGTTGATGTTATTACATACGTGCCTATTGTTATCTTACTTGATTATCTATAAGTTATTTAATTTCACTTTTGGTTTCAAATTTTGTATTATTACTTCGTGAATTGAACTCTAACAATAATCACTTATTTTGACTTCTTATCAAAATTAAATATAAAAAACAATCTCTTCAATGATGAACTTTTCTTTTTTAAGAAATAAATATCTCCAAAGAGGAGTTTTAACGTGTTTAACAATTTTATCAATTTATTATGTAAGATTCTGGGATACTTCTATTAATTCGTAAGTAATTAAAGGAATTAATTTTGTAAAAAAAAAATTCTATAATAATATATTAATTAAAAGCTTTAAAACAACTATTTTATAATATTACTTTTAAGTACATTAATTTTTATTTTTTATTACAGAATCTATAAAATCAGCTGTTCAAAAATATTGAGACCAAATAGTGAATTCCATGTTTCAATATCTTTGGGAACTGCTTCACTACCGATTATTGTGGAAACAACAATAACTGGAAATTCTTTTAAAGGAAAAGTATTTTCTGCTAAAGATACCATTAAAGTTTCGCCTAATTCAAGTAAATTAGCTACATTACAGGTAAAAATTGAATTAATCACCAACAATTTTCAACTCATAAACAATCAATTTCATTGAAAATAATTTGAAATAAAACTTTCAACATATAAAAGGGGATAATTATACTATGGTTTGGTTGGTATGGTTTTCATTGCCTTTTAAAAGTCCCATCAATGTCTTTGAAATGTTGAGTAAATTTTTTCAAATGCATACATGACAAAATAAATAACTGTTATTTGAAAAACATTTTTATTTAATAAATACTACGCATAATAAAAATTCAAAGTGCAACCAGGGAACATGGGGAACAAGACAATATCAAGTAGGGTCGGAAATATTAAGGTCGCCATAACAGGTGGCAGTTGTTTTAGTACACATATCTGTCAAAAAAGTTTCAAATTTCCCTTAGCAACAAATTCATTAGTTGCGTTTCATTAATTAAGCATCGAAAGACATCTTGTTGTAGAAATAATAATACAAATAAATCAATCAATAATTTAAATGATTTTTGTTTATGGAGAAACAGCCATTGTTGCAGGAGACACTTTAATTAGCCCTTCCTTTAATGATTGTACATTGAATGGAGCAAAATTTACAAATTCTCTGATTCACAAACTACCAATAAAGTAAGCGCCAAGTAGGCATTATCGAAATAAATGGATGGGTACCGGTGATCCTATTAATTGGCCCGCTAGGTCCCTCAAGCTAACATCTCTTAATTTTTTTCTGTGGGGTTATATTAAAGACAGATTCTACCAAGAAATGCCAACAACACCAGAAAATATGAGGCAAATAATATATGATGTATGGAGGCAATGGGGCCGTTACTCTCAATCGAATAGAAAGACTGTCTTTCAAAAAACCGATAAACTATGTAAAAATAGGATTGGTAACATTTACAGATCCTAAAATTGTTTAATTTTTGCATTAATTAATATTAAAATTCAAAATCCCATCTATTAAAAAACGTTTACGATGTTTTCGCGTAAAATCAAGAAGACGCAAACGTGCATCGTTCGGGTCTCTTCTTCTAGCGCATAAGATTCTCGTGGCATCTCGCTCATGGTCCTTTTTTTATTGCTTTTTATTTCAAGCAACCGCGTGCGAAACGACGGTGACGTCTCCAAAGTTTTTTAAAATTTTCATTATTTTTTTTTGAAAAACTAAAGCCCATTTTGAAAAATAAAAAATTATAGAAGTCTTCAATTTTGCTAAAGTAACGAATAAGCCAATAAAAAAAAAGTGTAATAGCCCCATTAAGGCCAAAAATGTTACAACAAGTTTCTTCATCTTTTATTTATCATTCACTTATATTCATCGAAGCAAACGGATATCATCTTGAGCACTTATCACTAGAGCTCGGATTTTTATGCAGTCAAATTATTGGAAATATGCGCATAAATATGCAAGCTTTTTATTCAAAATATGCAAAAAATATGCAAAAATATGTGGAAATATGCAAACATATACCTTTCTTATAGTTGTTATCAATCTATTTCTGTCACATTTTTGTATATGTTTTGCACTTTTCACATGTTGTTCTATTTGGGACTTCCTCTCACACGTTATCTTAAAAAAGAATAATTAAAAAAGTTAGCCATAGATCCTCTAACAGAAAAAAAATTTAATTCCGAGACTATAAAACAGATTCGTATTTTTCATTGTCGATTGTCTAGAAACGTATGTAAAAACATATTACAAGAAGATGGAACATCAAATTTAATATAGTTTTATTTAGTTTTAATTTAACAGTTTTCCATTTTTTTAACTCCTAGTGTAAAATGTTGAGAATGGAAATTCAAACTTCTTACTTGCTTGTTAAAATTTATTTTAACGGTACCAGTTTCGGGAAAAGCTCAGTACCGAAACTGGTACCGTTAAAATAAATTTTAAAAAGCAAGTAAGATATTTCAATACAAAAATACTTACAACTTTGGCACAAGTTTTACAAAATAATTCCTCATTATTTAAATTTAGCTCGGGATAACTTTTTATCCACTGGGACACAAGACACGATATCACTTTAGGCATTGTTGTTATAGATTGGTAGATTAATGTTCACTCACACTGAACACAGCTACAGTAACTATGGTTGGGGATTTCCTTAAACTTAAACTCAACAGCGCTAGGGATTCCCCGCATGTTTCTGTGAATTGTTGTAAACAAGAAACCAACCCGCAATCAAAAATATCCTGTATTGTGCTTTAAACTAAAAGGTATGCGCATATTCGCATATTTAAAAATCACGCAGTCATTATATTTATTTTATTAAGCAACAAGAAACAAATCTATTAAAATGACAAAATATGCGAAAATATGCAGTAAAAGGCCAATTTATGCAACAATCAAAAAAATTGTAAAAATATGCAAAATATCCAATTTTTTTATTGTACCATCTGCCTTATTTTTATCTAATTCCCCAGAAACCAATTTTGAAAAAAATATTCCAGAAATAAAGAAGATGCATTTTGCATAAAATCCGAGCCCTACTTATCACGTTAACATACGTTATTTTTAAGCGTAGTTCATTTGTGTTGTTGTGCTTGTTTGAATTACTTATTTGACGTTCTTATCCATAAATACGTGCTAAATAAAAAAATGTATCCATTAAAAAAAATTACTTAACAATTGAAAGACATTGATGGCGTTTCTTCATATTCCTTCATATCATAAAAGCTTTATCTGAAACTTTTTTCGATAAAACTGATAGTTTATGAGTTATAAAGTTGTCTCAATTTAAATGTCTCACCCGATATATTAATATACAGTAAGTGTCATAAGTATAGAGTCATCCGAAACACGTTGATTTTTATTTTCGTTAACCCAAATAATTTAGCATAAAAAATTGTTTATCACGTTTAGTTTTTCAGGAAAATGGATCAACAACATTTTCTGATAGAGCTAAAAATACGAATCCAATAATACCTCGCAATCAAATAAGAGTATTGGTTAATTAGTTTATATGATATTAATTAATAAAATTAGGAAAAAATGCGATTTTATGCTAAATTATTTAAGTTAACAAAAAATAAAAATCGATTCATTATATCTGGAACCGTTTTCAAATTATACAGGGGAAGGGGTAAGTTATGAGTCATAACTTATGACGCATACTGTATATATGCCGTTGTTTATAAATAGCGTTTGTCGTCTTCAATCCTTCATGCCTTTCGGCTCTGCCAGTTGCTATCGGTTAGGTTCAACTCTGATATCGTTTCCTTTATTCTGCTTAATCATGTGATGGGCGGCTTCCTTCTCTTCTTTCTCCCGGGGGTTTCGGTTTCAACGTGTTGTTTATTCTTTATTCACAGTATAAACCATAATAAACAGTTATAAAACTTTATTACAATAAGTTACTTTTCATGACAACACATGACCTCGAACCATCTCGAATCATGCCATGTCGTCAATCGTGTTCATACCTCTTCTTCTTCACTGCTGCTACAGTTCTCTTCTAATTCCTGTTTTATATCTTTCACTGTTTTCTTACCAAATTTCTTCTTTTCTTTATCTTTCTGATTTTCCTTCTTTTTCTTGCAAACTATTGCAAAATGATTACTTCCATCACATTCGTTACAGGTTTTGTCATACGCAGTACAAACACCTTTCTCAAATTTGTGTATCTTTCCACAAAACAAGCAAGTTTTTTTTTTACTTTTATTTATTATCTTATTTACTGATCTTATTTACTATTCTGATCTGATTCCAGATTTTTTATTCTCTGTGCAGTTAATTCATCTACTTTACAGATATCAATATGTTGTTGCAATCATTTGTTTTGACTTTATTTCATCTAGAATTGTAGTTAACATGTTTATAAGTTTTCGTATTTTCTGGTTGGTGACTTTTTCCATTTTAGATTTTCTTACCGCTCTTCTTCAATAAACCATTTCCATGATCAGTAGGTACCCTTCTTTCATCAATTATATTCATCGGTCACACTTCACAGCGTAGGTAACTATGGTTTTAAAGATGGTGTTATATATGTATCATTTATTTCTTGTTGATACACCCAGATAATCATGCTCAGCTTCACATGATTGTACAACATTCCCGTTGTCCTGTCTACTACAGGATCCTCGCTGTTTCCTGCCACACACATATACTTTGTTTCAGAGAAATCGTATTGCACTCAATTTAGTGGTCCTCAGTTTGGTACGGGCGTATAAACTTTCGTCGCCTCTCGAATGCTGTTGGTGATCTTCGCAGATATTTCGTCGACACAGAGCTTTCATTGATTGCACCACCGTCTCGATGATTTCCTAATTTGTCATTGCCTTTGCTCTAGTTTTACCGAAGTTGGATATGCTGTGGTCGCTGCTAGTCGATCTCATTTTCACCCTGTTATAGTGAGTGTTCATGCAGAATATACCTTCTGGGCTCAAATAGTCCAGTAACATTTCACTCCGCTCGCTCCTATTTCCTCGGCCAAATGACTCTTTGCGTTAAAGTTTCCTATCACGACAACAATCCTAACCCTTTTCGCACTACTCACGGTGGTTACATCTTCGGAGAAGTGGTATACGTCTTCAGCGGTGCTTGTCGTCGGTGCGTAGGCTTGAATCACTTACAGGGTATATTACGGTCACTTAATTTGACCATAATATTGATCACTCTTATGTTTTGCTGACCAGGTGCTTTGGATCCTTGTGCACCATAATTGCTACTCCGCCGATATGTGAGTTAGTGTTTGTGTTGTTCTGGAATAGCAGATGTTCTGATCCGAACACCGTTGTGGTTTCTTTTTTTAAACGTGTCTCGATGATCCCTAGAATATTCCATTTAATTTGATGCAGCTCTTATACTGGTCTCCAATCGTCAATTATTCATCCAATCGCATGGTGCGAATATTATGTGTCGCAAATAAAAGTTTATTCTTATTTTGGGTCGTTAGTTACTTTTCATGTCATCAAATTTTTCCCTCCCCTGGAATCCTTAAGCGTGACTGGTGAATCAGCGCGAGATTCTCGACATTTCATGTGTGGAAGGAGTTGGCAAATAAGTCACCACGTCCCTTGGTGACTACCTGTTGGTTCATGAATATTTAATTTCGTCTTTACCCTCTAGGCAAGCCTGGTGTGCATTCTCCTTTACCCGGGGACACGATGCCTTGGAGTTACAGACTCCCCCGGATATTCTAAACAGTGAGCCTCCTCGCTTCGCGTTTCTTTTCACCGTACAAGAGTAAATAGTTACCAATAATTTTGGAGCCTTCTCCTTTATTTTTTTGTCTCTGTCAATGCAGCTATTGTTATTTTTTGAATATAGAAATAAAACAGAAATGTAACCTTTACACTTGCATAAAATTTAATTTATATCAGTACCGGTTTCAAAGTTTTCACTCCATCATCAGCTGAAAACTATTAAAATATGTAATGGATATAAAAAAATATGTGAAAATATGAAAATATAGAAAATATAAAAAAATATAAAAAATATATAAAAATATAACGAAATACTCACTGTCAGAAAGTGAAGACCACAGATTGCAACATTAAAGAAGGTTTGAAATGTTGAAAATTTAAATTTTGAAAGAAATTCTGAATATAAAATTGCGTCGTTATTAAATTTAAAATGGACGAAGTAATAAAAACGTGGTGCGTTATGACAAATTACAAAGGGATCTAAAAATTAATGTAAAAACAAGTTAGAAAACAATCAATCGAATATAGACTAAACTTACGAGAAAAAATCTGATGGTTACACATGAAATTATGAAAATTAAAGCAAATGACGTATTAACGATTAAAGGTGACCATCTCAGCGGAACGAGAAGAAGAGACTGGAAACCAGACCGAGAAAATATTGAACATAATAAAACCGGAAAAACACACAAAAAATTTAAATTTATAAGTTGAAATTATTCAAATATGAAAAGATAGGTTTATAGGTTATATTTATTATTGTTTTTGTGTTTAGTAATTTCTAAAATTTCAAGAAAATCTAACTTTGAACTTTTATTGCATGAATGTAAAAGTTCAACTCCTCCGTAATCTATATAACAATAATAATAATAATCTTTATTGAGCGCACCAATACAAAGAATTTTAAAACAAAATATATAATGATTAAACTAAAAAGAAATAATGTAGAAAATAATAATAAAAGATATAAAAAATATATAAAAACAAATATATAAAAAAAAAGAATACAGTGCGCTCAATATGGACTACTTCGACTGATGCCGTTCTTCCACTAGCCCATTAGACACACTAAGACACATTAATCACACGAGAGTACACCATCTAATTCAAGCAAATATTAAAGTTAATAGTCAAATACCGCAAAACAAACAAGAAAAACACTCTCTGGACGGAGTTTTCTTTTGCATAATTAGTAAAAAAAAAAAGTGAAATTTTAGGTAAATTTTTCCAATACCTGCAAAATTTTTAATTTTCGTTACATTTACCTGCATTGAGGTTTATATTCTTAGAAAATAAGTTATTAATCTAAAATGAAAAGCTTTTTGATACCAGATGAAAATTGAAATGGCTACACGTCCCGCAATTGGAGAACTCTAGGTACGACGTCCAGCGGACATCAGTGCATAACTTTGTTATTTTTCGATAAAATTATTCAAAAAATTTCTCAAAAGTTGTTCGAAATATAAACAAAATAGTGTCAAAACTTGATTAAATTCTAATTAATTCTTCCCACCCAAAAAAAATCCTAAAAAATCAATGAAAATGAGCCTCCTAATGTGGTTTCCCCCCTTAATATTGTAATTAGAAAATATTTTATGAAATTTAGTAGTTAAAGTATAAAATTGTAGAGGTTTATAAATTATAGCATCATTATTATGTTTTGTATATAAAGGGTCCTTTTGTATACGTATCTTATTAAGCAGATGAGTAATCTTACCAACAGGGAAACCATTATCACGAGCTAAATCAAAAATGATGTTAGTTTCTTTAATCCTGTTATATTCAGAAAGAGGGTAATCATAAATCCTGTTAATGAGAAACCGAAAATTAGCAAATTTGTTGATTAGGGTGTGATGATGTGTATGGAATGATGTGGGTTTTTATATTTTCATATTTTCACATATTTTTTTATATCCATTACATATTTTAATAATAGTTACGCTCTCTGTATAGTTTTCAGCTGATGATGGAGTGAAAACTTCGAAACCGGTACTGATATAAATTAAATTTTATGTAAGTGTAAAGGTCGCATCTGTGTTTTATTTCTATATTCAAAATTTCATTTACTTGCAATATGGATAATTTACATAACTTTATTGTTATTTTCATTTTATTTAGGCACTCGTTCACCTCATTTCATCCTCCTCTTTCATCATCCTTTTTCGTAGCTGAAGTAGTCTATTAAATCCATCCTGTTTCCGATGCATTTCGATTGTGTTTTTAGCAATTTTTTTTTGGTTTTAACAATTTTATATATTTTTAATTTACTTTTGATTGATAGATCGCTGATATTGAAGATGGAGTATACAGCTTATTAATATCCGGAAGCGGTGGTGTTACCTTTGAGGAATCCATTCCAAAATTACGATTCCTCAGAAAAAGTTTTTCTGTTTTAATCCAAACTGATAAACCAGTGTATAAACCGGGAGATCTTATACAATTTCGAACCATTATTTTAGGACCATCTTTACGACCAAGCGAAGTTGTTAGAAATAAACCAGTTCGTGTTCATATAACGGTAAAAGTAAGATGATTAAAAATATTACAAAAATTAAATCAAATTATTGTTGTAGGATGGAAGAGGTAATAAAGTAAAGGAATGGATGGATGTTTATGCCCCCCGAGGAGTTTTTAATGCAGAAGTACGCTTAAGCAACTCCCCGGTTCTTGGAAATTGGAATATTACTGTTGTTGTTCAAGGACAAACCTACACGAAACGAATTTTAATTGCTGAATATGTTTTACCTAAATTCCTACTCAAAATTGATGCTCCAAATCACGTTAGTTTTCAAGAAAATATTATAGTTACCGATATAGAAGCAAAGTAAGTTTTTACACAATAACATCTTCTTCTCCTGATCCTTATGCCTGATGGCGTCGGATAAATCTTTTCCTATTCCTCCATCCACTTCTTCCACTCCTTTCATTTAATAGCTAATTCCTTTATAACTGATGCTAGAGTCTTCCCTCTCTTCTTTCCAACTTCTGCTATTCTTTCCTGCCACTTCTTCCTAGGTCTTCCCGTCTTTTTCTTATCCTTATTCTTTGCATCAAATACCTTTTTTACAATTGTGTTATGTACCATTCTAGTTATGTGGGCGTACCAGTTTAGTTGCTCTTTCTCTACTTTGCTGATTATCTCCTTTTTGCTAATTAAATCTACTCCCAGTCTTATTTCTTCATTCCTTATCCTATCTCACTTTGAGAAACTGCTAATGCCGAAAACTGCGAACAGGAGTAACCGAAATTAATTTCAGTTACGACTACGGTAAAAAAGTTCAAGGTGATGCAACTGTAACGGTTTACCCTACGATAATTTCCGGAGTTATCCAACCAATTTATGAAAATCCTATACGGAAAGTGGTTCCAATAGATGGAAAAACAACCGTAAATATCGATATAGCTAGAGAATTAGGTTTAAATAATGAATACGAAAGAACCGTTGTTGTTGATGTTACCGTCCAAGAAGCATTAACTGGCCTTAAACAAAACAACAGTATTGAAATACAATTACGAAAATATGATTATAAGGTGGAAATCATCAAAACGGCCGATTATTTTAAACCGGGAATGTTGTATACGGTTTATATAAAGGTTAGCAATTATAATGGATATCCTTTAGAAGATAGTCGTAAAACTATTAAGGTAAACTATGGGTTTTCACGAAATAATGAAAATTTTACAAACGTTGAAAAGAAAATTAATCAATTTGGAGTGGCTACTTTAGAGTTGTACATGCCGGTTAATGTAACTGAAGATACAATGTTGAGAATTGAGGTAATTTCATGGTTTTTTAAACAGGATGTACCTACAACGTTATGTCATCTTTGTTTTAGGCTGAATATTTGGATTTAAAAGAAATAATGTCACCTGTACTTCCAGCTATATCACCAAGCAAAACGTTTATGCAATTATATTTAGAATCTGAAAAACATGCTGTTAATAAAGACGTGATTGTTTTAGTGAATTGTACAGAACCGATGAGTTACATAACTTATGAAGTATTAGGAAGAGGCGATATTTTATTAACAAAAACTCAACAAGTTGATAATCGAAGAGTAAATATTAACGAAAATGTATCTAAAAAAAAAAAGAGAAATGTTGTTTTAGGTTTTTAAATTTGCATTTTCAACAACACACACAATGGTTCCAATCGTTCGTTTATTAGTAAGTTATATCAGAGATGATGGTGAAATTGTTTCTGATTCAGTAAACATAGAAATCGACGGTCTTTTGCAAAATTTTGTACAAGTTGAAACGACATCAAATGTAGGACCATCGTTTGACGTAGATTTTACCATAAAAACGCAACCGCATTCTTACGTTGGATTGACGGCGGTTGATGAGAAATTGAATAAAATTGGAACAAATTATGAGATCGACAGAAATTCTGTAATTGATGAGTTGGAGAAATATGATGCGGGAACAATTTCGCCGTATTCATTGAAATCAACGCAGAATCATTTTATTTGGAAACCGGGTTCAAGTAATACAAGAAGTATGTTTGAAGACTCTGGAGTTATATTAATAACAAATGGAAAAGCTCCGATGTATGAAGGTAAGAAATTTTTTAACTTTTATTTTACAATAACACTTTTTTATACTTATATGTTTATAATATGATGATATTTTAATTTTAATATTAAGACTTTTTTCAAAATTATCGTTACTTTATCTGGATACTTATTCTAACTTAGTTCCTACAAAATTTCCGTAGGCTGTTTGATTTGTAACTTTATTACAACATACATTTTTTATATCCACGCCTACAAACTTGTTGATATCTTATCGTTTTTATTGCGCATCTGTATTTATTGTTCTTTGTGCGTGGTAATCATTTCGACTGTTGTTGGAGACTTCCCTTTGTGCTATAGATTGGTGATTTATTATGAAAAAAAATCCGCTTATTCAAGAGCACCGACACCGTTGGTATCACCAGGTGTACGATCAAGCTTGAAGACAAAGAAGACATTTGGAAAGATTTTCAAGATGAAAAGATTAAGTGTCCAATTCTATCTGCAAAGATGGATAATGCTGTGATTTCAGAAGTACCGGGGGAGTATCAAGTACCACTGAGAATCAACAACAGTCGAAAGAGATGCTTGAATTATAATCATTCATGGATGTGGCCACATTTGGTGGCCACATCCAAAATGCAAATTAATGTTACAATTCTATGATTTGGGGTTTTACTCCAAAGTATCCCCATTTTCAGGAATTTCCGTTTTCAATTTTTGTAAAATAACTATCAAATCATTTATTGGTTATCATTCGCTTTTAATGTCCCGAAGAGTGTGTAAAAATTTAAATAACAGATTTAATCTAAATTAACAACTAATCTCGAAATCGGATGGATTTTTTATTGTACAACCCGATCTACTAGTTATAAAATTATTACTAGTAACTAAACTTTGAATTAACAAATTTTCAACAAACGTGTTTTTCTTAAAAACTATTGCTTTGATCAAAGTTGTGTAAGAGACCAATTGATAGATAATTGATCACTTTACACGCGTAGAGAGCAATGGCGTAGACAATATTTTTAAAAAAGTGCTTTTTATTGCAGATAATGTTTAATTTTAAAAAAACTTTGATCCGCTATATCTCGCCAACGAGGTATTTCCGACCCCATGTATATTAAGACTATTCAACTTAATTTTTCTTGTATTATCTACTCTAGAAGTCTGTCAGCGGTTTTTTGAATCGCCCTGTACATTGTCGTTGGTAGAACACTACAATTGTAGTAAATTTTATTCTTAAAAATGTTTCTCTTTTACAGTTTTGCTTTCAGATGCATAAAAATCGAGAAATGTTCGAAAAGGTAAAAATTCGTTGAAATCGTGGTTTTTATATTGTTGGAGAGCATGGGATTCGGAACGTTTTAGAAAATACTTTTGGTATAAAAGTTGTAGCAAATTTTATTCTTAGCAGTGCCGCTTTCAGATGCATTCATTTTTGTAACTGGGGATTAGACTTTCAGGGGACACTTACCGAGTCGTTTAAACAACCCTACGCAGTTAATTAGTCAATTTTAAAATTGGGTATTTTCACCTTCACATTTATAGTGGATCACACTTTTGGTCTAGATGTCTATAATTAGCTAATTAATATAACATTAAATTCCACATTCAGTCAAATGTATTTTGACGCTCATTTTACTCTTCGATTAGCGATGAGTAAAATGAGCGTCAAGAATGATGCAAGCTAATTTTGTACGCACCAGATATTCTACTTGGAATTTGACACAAATAATAAAGCTACGACTATAATATTTTTATAAATTACTTTCATTTTTCCTACCTTAAATCCCATAATTACACCGTTAATACGTAAATATTTATCGTTTTAGCTGGAAATATTTTTTCTTGGCCAGCTTCTTTTGGAAGTAGTACATTAAAACCTGAGAGAGGTGCGGGTTCGCCAGCTTCGGGAGCTACTCGTCCTCCTTTAGCCGGACCTTATGCTTTCAGCAGGATTCCGCGACCAGTTTCCGACAAACCGAAAATTTATCTTTCGGACATTATCCAAGAAACGTGGCTATTTACTAATTTTTCTTCAAGGTAATTACAACATCAATGTATTTTAGTGTTTTATTTTAATTATTATTTTTTAGTTATGATGGTCAAACGATGATAAGAAAAAAACTCCCTTCTTCAATAACAAACTGGAAAATAACCGCATTTTCATTAAATTTCGCTCATGGTTTAGGCTTAATAACACAACCACTGAAAATAGAAGTTAGCAAACAATTTTCGGTTAACGTAAATTTACCGAAATCAATTCAAAGAGGAGAAGTTTTATTGATACCAGTTGTCGTTTTTAACAATTTAGATCAAGACATAACTGCTGAAGTTTTAATGCATAATCCGGATCAAAAATTTGATTTTGAAGGAGCCTCTAATAAAAGTAAGAAATTATTTTTAGTTGACGATCTATTAATTTATTTATGTTTTAGAAATTGAGTTATATCGCAAGAAAAAGCTCGCAATCAAAAAACAAAGTAAAGGCGAAGTATCTTTTATGATAATTCCGAATAAATTAGGTGAAACCCCAATAAGAATCGAAGCCAATTCACAAAATATGCAAGATACAATCGAAAAAATCCTTATTGTGAAACCAGAAGGTGAAACTGAATTTTATACAAAATCGATTTTGATTGATTTACGGGGAAAACAAAGTTTTAAAGGAAACTTAACGATAAATCTCCCCGAAAACGTCGTGGAAGGTTCCACAAACATCGAGATATCAACCGTTTCCGATCTTCTCGGTCCATTAATAATAAACTTAGGAAATCTCATACGATTACCAACAAGCTGTGGCGAACAAAACCTCCTAAATTTTGTTTCAAACACGATCCTTTTAAATTATTTACGAAATACCGGTCAATTATCCCCGACGATAGAACAAGACGCAATTAAAAATTTAGAAATTTCTTATCAACAACAACTTTTCTATAAACTTGCCGATAATTCATTCGGTGTTTTCGGAAAAGCGAACGAACTCGGAAATATTTGGATTACTTCTTATACAATTTTAGCATTTATTCAAGCAAAACCTTATATTTTTATCGACGATAATTTAATTAGGAACGGTTTAAATTGGTTATCAGAACGGCAAAATCAAAACGGGGGATTTGCAGAGTCGGGAACGATAATTTATGACAATCCACAAAACTCGATCGCTTTAACATCTTTCGTTTTAATGGCATTTATAGAAAATCGTTTTCAAACGTCTCTTTACGCGAATTTAATACAAAAAGGTTTAGCTTACATTCAAAGTGAAATACACAACGACGTAGATACTTATTCTCTAGCTATTGCAACTTATGTTATGCATTTAGCAAAACATCCCGCAAAAGAAAATCTTTTAAATCTCTTAAATTCGAAAGCAATAACGGGAAACGATATTAAATGGTGGACAGATGGAGTTTTAAAAAATGATTCGGCGAATCCTTGGGTGAAATTATCGAAAACGGCGGACATAGAAATTACTTCTTACGCTTTATTATCAATGTTAGAAGCCGATTTAATCACTGATACAATTCCTGTAGTAAATTGGTTGATGAATCAAGGAAATAGTTTAGGTGGATTTACATCGAGTCATGACACCAAAGCGGCTTTGATGGCTCTTTATCGCATGGTGTTACGGTTTAGTACACAATCGAATATGAAAATTCAATATGAATACAATGATGGACTGAAAAAGAAGAGCAATGATTTTTACGTTAACCAAAATAACGCAATGATCGTTCAACGAACAAAAATTTCCAATGACGCTAAAGTTGTTAATATAACCGCCGAAGGAAACGGATTGTCCTTAATACGTATTTCCTATCAATACAATAAAAACGTAACGGGAGCTTGGCCCATGTTTACTTTAGACCCGCAGGTACATAAAAACTCTAATCAGTATCGTATGCAACTTACAGTTTGTACAGGGTAATTATATTAAAATTCTTGAATATCTTGAATCCTAAATCTTAATTTATCTTTTAGATTCGTTAGTAAAAATCTATCAGATACAACCTTAACTTCTAACATGGCTATAATCGAAGTAAACCTTCCAAGTGGATTTACTGCCGATACCGATTCATTACCAAGTTTAGAAGCGAGTCAAAACGTGCAAAAAGTTGAAACGGGGGACAATAACAGAAAAATTTTCTTGTATTTCAATAACATAACCCACGCGGGTTATTGTCCGACCATTTCGGCATTTAGAACGTATCGCGTTGCTAAAGAAAAACCAGCGGCGGTGTTGGTTTATGACTATTACGATAGCTGTAATTATGATTATTATTGTTTTTTTTTAATAAATAAGTGATTTTATTGTTTTAGCACGACGAGCAAGGATTTTTTATAGTAGCAGAAGAACCAAAATGGGTGTTTGTGATATTTGCGAGAATGATTGTAACAAAAGGTGTTCGAACGAGCCTAATTTAAAACCATTACAAGATGGTGATAATAAAAATGGGAAATCGAAAGCTAATCAATCAAAATGTTTTATTAATTTACTTCTTGTTTTAGTTTTAATTTCATTGAATGAAATTATTTAACAGCTGAATAACTTTTATTTAACATTGCCAAAAATTGCTATTTTTTTTATTGTTATAATGTCTAATAAATACGTAACTCAAAAAAATCTTTTTTTTTTAAATTCTTCTTCCAGTTTACAGCACGCACCGAGCCTTAACCACAGAATATCACAATCGGAAGACAAACTCGCTTTCGTAGCATTAAATAGGAAGTTTAAACATGCATGGATTTAGTGGCGACAATAAAAACTGGCGCGCCATCCAGTAAAATTAAATTGCATGTGTAAACATCAACTGGCATGCAAGTTGAAATCATGCATGCATGGATCGGAAAAGTCTGCACCCTTCTGAAATCACTGGCGCCAGTGATGAGTCTAACTGATGAGTTTTTTAATGTCAAATTTAGGTTATGTTTCATTGCATTCAAATTAAATCCCAATTACGTTAACACATTCAACGATAACGTTTAATTATCCACATTAAACCTAGAATATATCTATTTTCGTTTCCGTTGAGGTCCTAATTTGTGTATATAGTTGTGCAATACACTTTAATAATGAAACTGGCGTGTCACTTATTTTTGTTTTCGCATATGTAGTGTAAACCTTTATTGGCGTGCAAATAGAACTGGCGCCACTAAATCTAAGCATGTCTAAACTCACCTTACAGCTAAGTTTCCACATGCACGGATTACTGGCGCCAGTTCATTTGCATGTGGAAATAGGAAAAACCACTAGCACCCATAAATTGGTGTTAGTAATCATAGCGCCAGGGGCGGATTTCTAAATAGGCTAGGTAGGCTGTAGCCTACGGCGGCAAATTTTCGAATGCGAAAATTTTTACGCAGCCAGTAAAATTTTACTTTTAGACGGTCAACATATTCGGTTACGACGCGTCGGCTTTGTGGCAGAATGTGGCGACGTAGAGCCGTGTCGGCCGGTTATTTTTCTCTTAAAAATCATCGATACAATATTGCTTCTCCTTCAGTCCTTGTTTTATCGCAAAGCAGAATCATACATGATACACTTAGCGACTTTATTCTGCAGATTTTTATATAAAAGTTAATTTAAAATAATTTAATGCATAATTGAGCTATTTAAAGTGATCTTTAAAGTTAGTGAACCATATTAGAAATAATAGAATAGTCTCGATTACTACAGGCCTTTTATTTTATTGATTTTTTGAGATCGCACTTGTAAGTATATTAAAATTTAACGCATTTTTATTTTAAATAACAATAGTGTTATAGATTACGTACAAATGGCAAATGGTAGAAAGTATTTAGGCGGATGGGAATACAAAAAAAAGGACAGAGGAGAAGCAAAAAAAACAAACCGAAATCTTGAAAAGAACTACAAAAATTGATTATTTCTTCAGCAAGAGTATTCCGGAACCACCAATTGAAACATTCGCAGATAATGTACCTTGTGCATCAAAGGAGACTAGTGTTCTGTTGACCTCGTCCACAGATGAAGATGTTTCAGAAAACAGTGATGAACGACAGGAGAAGAAGGATCAACCGCTATTTCTGCCTCCAACTTTTCAATTTGAGAAAGATCCTGCAAAGTGGATTATTAATGATGAACTCATAGACTTTGTTGCACGTAATAGCTATTCTCAAAATGCAGAGTCTGATTATCAAAATTCTAAAAGAGTCTACAATGACCAAACACGTCTTATGAGTTCATCAATTTTTAAAATAGAGCTTCAAAATGGTGAAGTTTCAAATCGACAATGGATAATATATTCTGAAAAAAATGGTAGTATTTACTGTGGGCCTTGTCGTTTATTATCCAAAGCAGCCACATCCTTTTGCGCAAATAAAGGATTCAATGATTGGAAAAACCTTAAACACTGCGTCGAATCGCACGAACGTTCTATAAATCACAAAAATTCTGTGGTTGCTCTCAGGACAAGGACTTCGAATAAAAATTTAAATAATATGCTAAATGCAGAGATTGATCAAGAGAAACAATATTGGACTGAAGTTTTACGTCGCATTGTCGTTATCGTAAAAAAATTAACAAGTCGTGGTCTTCCATTAAGAGGTTCTGATGAAGTTCTTGGATCAAGTCATAATGGAAATTTTTTAATGGCAGTGGAACTATTAGCCGAATTTGATCCGTTCTTGAAGGAACATATAAAGAATTATGGAAGACCAGGTAGCGGAAAAACAAATTATCTTTCGTCCACAACGTACGAAGAAATTGTATATATAATGGCTCAGAGGTGTAGAGAAGTTATATCTGCCAATGTAAGGATAGCTAAATACTTTTCTATAATTGTGGATTCAACACCTGACATATCCCACGTCGATCAGTTGTCGATTGTCATAAGATATTTCCAAGAATGTGGATCACCGACAGAAGTATTCCTAAAATTAGTACCGACTAGTGGTCATAAATCCGAGCAACTGTACAATATAATATCGGAAACTTTAGCATCTTTTCAAATTATTTTGGATGATTGTAGAGGTCAGTCGTACGATAATGCTGCGAACATGTCGGGACTTTATACCGGCCTCTAAGCAAGAATTAAGAATATAAACAAATATGCGGAATTTATACCCTGTTCAGCTCATTCTCTAAACCTAGTTGGTACGTCGGCAACTAATTGTTGTAATGAATCAACAAATTATTTTACGTTTCTACAAGATATCTACAATTCCTTTTCGGCATCTATGTTACGTTGGGAGAAATTGAAGAAGAATAATGTAAAAACAACACCAAAAAGTCTGTCGTCCACGAGATGGTCATGCAGAGATCATGCCTGCAAGGCTTAATGTCTTGGAAATGTATTTACAATACTCTGGAAACTATTTCCAATGACAGTTTAGAGAAGGGGATTTCGAAGGCAGAAGCAGCGGGACTAATTAAAAAGATGGCCAGATTAGAAACTGCGTTCATGACTGTTTTTTGGAGCACTGTTCTCAATCATATGAATATAGTAAGTAAAAAACTACAGCAGGAAGACGCAGATATTGGATTGGTCATCGTTTTGTATAAATCCCTGATTTCATTTATTTCATCTTGCCGCGAAAACTTTAAAATCTATGAAGACGACGGTAATGAAGAAGTTCTGTTCGCTGCTAGGGATGATTTCAAAATAAACGTATTTCTTATAATTGTGGATCGATTAATTTCGGAATTAGACCGTCGAAAATGTATGTACTATAAAGTATTAGAAATTTTTACGTTCTGTTTAAATTTCGCGAACTAGCAGTTGAAGAAATAAAGAATGAAGCATTAAAATTATGTAAAATTTATTCACAGGATATTTCAGATGATTTTATTGAAGAGATGTTACATGTTAAAGAGTATTTGACACAAGAAGACAAAAAACATATAAATATCAACAACAATTGCTCTTCTGAACGGTCGTTCTCATGCTTGAAACGAATAAAAACATACTTACATTCAACTATGACCGAAAATAGATTAAACGATGTAGCAATTTTATCAGTTCAATCGGAAACTGCAAATTCGATATCATGTGATGATGTAATCAAAATTTATTCAAATTTATTTGACTTTAATACATGTTTGCACAACTTTCGCAGTTTTTATTTCATTTCCTACTTTTAGTTCTGTTACGGATATTCATAGGCGGCGAGTTCGTTCAGCTTATAGACGGCACATTTGTAAATCCGCCACTGTCTATATCCAAAATTGTGCCGGAAGTCTGTTCAGCTCTCAACCATGTTCTTAAGGATGAATGTAAGGTAAATAAATAAGTAAAATAAGGAAAATATCACAAAATAATTATATTTTAACACTTTAATGACATGACATTGTCACATGTTAAATGCGTATGAAAAGTAATATAAAAAGGAACTAAGAGTTTTGAAATGCTTCATTGATTACATTCCGTAATGAATTTTGGGCGTTTTCATACTGCAAATTGGTACATTGTTGAAAAGAATGGGCAGGTTCGTACATCATACTATGTACTGAAAATGGAGAAGTGAGTGATGAGGAAGAGGAGTTAACTGAATATGGGCGTTGCACATTTCTGTTGTGAAATATTTGTTGTATTTCAAACATGATGTCTTCTTTATCATCTTCCGATAGTTTTTTTAACTTTTCTGCTACAAGTTTACCGAATACGGCACATTTATCTTCAGATTCACCTTTCTTATTTATTACAGAGTGTAGGGTATCAAACGCAGTTTTCATTTGTTTAGCTGCATCCTGAAGCTCTGGTGGATCCGCCCGACGTCGAATGGTTTTTCCTGTACTTTTCCTTACTTTATCCTGTTGCATTTCCACTACATCGTTACCATTGTCTATCGGCTGGTCTGTTTCACCAACGGCTTCAGAAATAGAGTGTACCTAAAAATAATAAGCATAATGATTTATTAATGCAATTTATATCTATGTTTCAGCTACCCGAAGGGATTTAAAGGGAAGTTTCCACATGCAATCGGCGCAATAGATGGCAAACATGTAGTAGTGCGATGTCCATCTAACTCAGCATCAGATTACCACAATTACAAAAGATCTTTTAGTATTGTTCTTCCTGTTTTGGTCGACAGTGACTACCGCTTTATTTTTGCTGATATCGGAGCAAAAGGGAGAATAAGTGACGGTGGTGAAAAAAATTAGCACAGAAGATNCTAAAACAGCTATTTGATTCTGTTCATTCGTAACCGATCTTGCACGTTCCAGAAATTTTTATCCCACGTGCAAGTTAGCGCACATCGAAACAAGGTTTAGAACAGGATTTACTCGATTTATAAACTTTAGGCAACCCTGAAAAAAAATCTGTTAATGTATACAATGTGTCCCCCTTCTCACCAAAAAATGTTTACCTGAAACTTTTTTCGATTCGAGTTTTTGTTTTTGAGATATAAGCATATGTCATTTTAAATGAAACACGCGGTATAAGGACCGACTAGCACGAAATGAAGCTGTCAGAAAGATAGCTGAAATTAAAAAAAAAACAGTTCCTAATTTTGATGAAACCTCGGCAAAAGCAAAAATACGAAGTATACACAATGCGTATACAATTGAACTCCAGAAGTGGAGGACATCATCAGCTGACGATGTGTATAAACCCACAGTACTATGATATTCTGTGGCTAATCGATTTCTACACTCAGTTGTGGAAATAAGAGAAACGCAGGGTACTTTGATAAGTATTTATTAATTATTAATTGCGTATAATTTTATATACAAACATATATTTAAATGTTTAATTATCTTAGCATTATTCAAATCATATCATTTTGCCACGGTACTTTTCCGGAATTTGTAAAATATTCAGCGTATCTATCTCGTATTAGTGTTGCTTCTCTTGAGCGATTATTACTACCAATGTTCTGAATCTGACGTAGATCAGATGACTTGTCATTTTCAAAGTCTGTTAACGCCGACGTTAAATACGAAAATGAAGTTTTTCTTAACCAGTTATGTAATACACAACATGCCATCACTACTTTATCGACCTTTTGTGGTACTAAAGATATAGGCTTCTCAAATATCCTAAATTTTGTCATCAGAATGCCGAATGCATCTTCGACAATGTGTCCAGGTCATCTTGAGTACGGTTTTATGAGATAATTTTTTAGAGGAATTGCGTCATCTCCTACAATGACAAAATGTTCCGGAATATTAACGGTCTTTTCATCTATAGCCCTTTTGAGNGATGTTACATGTTAAAGAGTATTTGACACAAGAAGACAAAAAACATATAAATATCAACAACATGTGCAACTGGATCAGGAATCAGAATCTGCTTGATATTTTTCCTAATATTGATATAATTTTAAGAATTTACAAATCAATGGCAGTAAGCAATTGCTCTTCTGAACGGTCGTTCTCATGCTTAAAACGAATAAAAACATACTTACGTTCAACTATGACCGAAAATAGATTAAACGATGTAGCAATTTTATCAATTCAATCGGAAACTGCAAATTCGATATTATGTGATGATGTAATCAAAATTTTCGTTGAAAACAAATTCAGGCGAAATTTGTGATTTTTTGTTATATGAATTTTTGTATTAATTTTTATTTATGTGAGTGAAGTTTTTGTTGTTTTTTTATTTGACTTTAATACATGTTTGCACAACTTTCGTAGTTTTTATTTCATTTCCTACTTTTAGTTAAAATTTATAAAGTTACATCGATTAAATGCTCAAAATGATGACCATTCACTTCTAAACTTTTCTGAATTCTCATTGAAAACGTTCTCTGCACATTGCCAAGCATTTCTTCAGTTATTGATTCGCAAGCTGCTCTAATACGGTTTTTCATATCGTTTGGTGTTGTTGGACCTTGGTTGTAAACTTTCTCTTTGAGGTAACCCCAAAGAAAGAAATCGGGAGAAGTTAAGTCGGGTGATCTAGCTGGCCAATTCACCGGTCCATTACGTCCTATCTATTTTTCAGGAAACATTTCGTCTAAACTTTCTCTTGCGGCTAGAGCATAATGAGATGGACATCCATCATGCTGATACCATAGCGCAAGTCTTCGCTCCAGAGTAAGGTCTTCCAACAAAACCGGTAAATCGTTCAACAAAAAATTCCGATACTTTATGCCATTCAAATTGCCATCAATAAAAAAAGGCCCAATTATTTTATTGCCAACAATGCCGCACCAAACATTAACTGACCAAGGTTTTTGATGATCAACTTGTCTTAGCCAACGAGGATTTTCATGTGACCAGTAGTGCATGTTATTCGTCGGAAAATAGTACATTGAAGAAAAAATTTTCATTCAATCTTAATTTTTCCATAGCACACGATTTTCGAAATCATCGTCTTGTAATTGTTGGTGTAGGAAGACATGATACGGATGAAACTTATTAAGTTTCAAAATCCGATGTACACTCGATAACGAAATGCCTGAATCTTTTGACAATTGCCGGCAACTTACATGAGGATTAATCTTCTGTTCATTCGTAACCGATCTTGCACGTTCCAGAAATTTTTATCCCACGTGCAAGTTAGCGCACATCGAAACAAGGTTTAGAACAGGATTTACTCGATTTATAAACTTTAGGCAACCCTGAAAAAAAATCTGTTAATGTATACAATGTGTCCCCCTTCTCACCAAAAAATGTTTACTTGAAACTTTTTTCGATTCGAGTTTTTGTTTTTGAGATATAAGCATATGTCATTTTAAATGAAACACGCGGTATAAGGACCGACTAGCACGAAATGAAGCTGTCAGAAAGATAGCTGAAATTAAAAAGAAAACAGTTCCTAATTTTGATGAAACCTCGGCAAAAGCAAAAATACGAAGTATACACAATGCGTATACAATTGAACTCCAGAAGTGGAGGACATCATCAGCTGACGATGTGTTTAAACCCACTGTACTATGGTATTCTGTGGCTAATCGATTTCTACACTCAGTTGTGGAAATAAGAGAAACGCAGGGTACTTTGATAAGTATTTATTAATTATTAATTGCGTATAATTTTATATACAAACATATATTTAAATGTTTAATTATCTTAGCATTATTCAAATCATATCATTTTGCCACGGTACTTTTCCGGAATTTGTAAAATATTCAGCGTATCTATCTCGTATTAGTGTTGCTTCTCTTGAGCGATTATTACTACCAATGTTCTGAATCTGACGTAGATCAGATGACTTGTCATTTTCAAAGTCTGTTAACGCCGACGTTAAATACGAAAATGAAGTTTTTCTTAACCAGTTATGTAATACAGAACATGCCATCACTACTTTATCGACCTTTTGTGGTACTAAAGATATAGGCTTCTCAAATATCCTAAATTTTGTCATCAGAATGCCGAATGCATCTTCGACAATGTGTCCAGGTCATCTTGAGTACGGTTTTATGAGATAATTTTTTAGAGGAATTGCGTCATCTCCTACAATGACAAAATGTTCCGGAATATTAACGGTCTTTTCATCTGTAGCCCTTTTGAGACTAGATCGAGAAAATGCACCACCATCCGACTCTCTCTCGGCAGCACCCAGATCTACATAAGTAAAATAATAATTGCTATCAACTAAAGCAAGCATGATAACACTGAACGTTTCTTTGTAGTTATAAAATGTGGAACAACTTTTAGCAGCACATTTTATTACAACATGTTTTCCGTCTATCGCCCCTATACATCTAGGAAAATTCCATATTGTTGCAAAACCGTTTTCTACACTTCTCCATTCATCCTCTGTAGATGGTGCCTGACAATAATTCAATATCAAAACATAATTTTTTATTTCACTCTGCTATACTCAAATAACATATTAATTATTATAAAATTTCATGTTTATATTTAGAAATCACAAAATATTGAAAAAGATGCCGGAAAAACTGAAGAATCGGATAACAGTTTAATGGTTTGTGAAGACATCACTAATCAAGAATCAGAGATCCATATAGACCCTGACAGGGTACCAACACCATCATTGAAACAATTGACTCAAGGCTGTACGAAAAATATTCACTTAAGCGAAACGCCTGTTAAGAAGAAAATACCTAGCAACAGAAATTTCTGTCAGTCTCCTATTAAAAAGAAAAATATTAGTAATAACTTACTGTGACCAAAGCAGTTGACGCTTTAAAAGAAATTTCACAGCAAGACAATACAGCTCAACCTACCGGCGATGAGTTTGAAGCAAAACAGTTGCTGTTCACCTACGACAACTTCCATTAAACAAAGCCTTGGAAAGTCAAGCTGAAATTCTTAATTACTTAGTAAAACAAAGACTACATGAGCCAAGTTCACTATCAACATCCCTTCAGCTTCAAAATTTAAATTCAAATATGTAGCTGTTCGTTTTTGATGGAAGATTCAGCTACCGCTTTTGGGTTAGGAACAGAAGGCACAACTTATGATGACAATTATAACACTAGACGACTAATACGGGAAGCAATGAATACAGACTTAAATTTATAAAAATATCTATCTAAATCATGAAGAAAAGTTGTAATAAAGTAGTAGTCAATAAAGATGTTTGTCTTATTAATTATCAGAAGTATTAATTAAAAATCAAACTTACTTTTAAATAATCCTTTAAAGGATTTAACATTGGTATAAGTTAAATTCTGTAAAGTCTTGTTCTTTTATAAAAGAGCAACATTCTTTAATTAACTTTTTGGTTTTTATATGAAACGTGTTAAGAGGATTTCGTGTGATTTTCATAAAATTATTATTATTAAAGAAATCGTAAGTTTTTTGAAGGTAATCTTTTTTATACATAAAAACAATACCTGCATTTTTATCGGCTTTAGTTACCTTTAAGTTGTTGTCATTAATTTTATTTTTTATTGTTTTAACACGTTGACTGCCGCGGGTATATCACGCGCATTACTACACTACAGAAGTGTGTACCAGTTTTAATACACACGGCAGTCAACGTGTTAAGAAGAGTTTTACGTATCTCTACAAAATCTTGTAATAAACTGTCCAAAAAATGGACATCACTGTTGATTCAATTTTCTTACTTTATTTTGTTTGAAATGGAATGAATCACTTTTTGATGAATTTTAACGTTTTATTTATTGTACTTAAAAAACTATTATGTATAAAATCTAACTTAATTTTTGATAGCAACGTGAACTGGTCAGAGTCTGGTAAGCGACTAGAATTCGTTCTTGACCTCAAGTCGAACACGAGGTCCGGCAAACATTATGAACCGTAGTGTAGGCAACCAAGCTCACAACTCTGTATATAATATTATACAATCACAACAAAGAATACATTTTTTGGAAACATGAAGAATAGCCGTGTTTGTGGAATCATAAAAGTCTAGAGCATAAGGACCGAACTACAAGAAATGAAGCCTTAAGAAAGATAGTTAAGATTATGCCAAAAACGATTGCCAATGTTGACGAAAACTCGGCAAAGCCAAAAATACGCAGTATACGCAATACGTATACAAGTGAATACCACAAGGTTTTAAATTCGTGCAGAAGTGGAGCATTAGGCTGACGATGTGTATAATTATGACATAATAATGTGTATAATTTATAATTATGTATATTCATGAGATAGTTTTCTAAATAAAGTACTTTATGCACCTACGTTGATTCCTTTTGGAAAGAGGCAGACGTTTCGCCAACATCTCATCGTCGAATCCAGTTTAACCACAATGGACAAGCAAAAAGCCGAAATTCTAAGAATGGACATCTCAGGATCTCACGTTTAGCCAACCCACCCAAACCCAACTTGGTTCCAAGTGAACTCCAGGCTTTAAACCGTCTTAAAAATAACCAAGACATCATCATACTACCGGCGAACAAAGGCAACGCCACAGTGGTTATGGATTTAGTGGACTATAAGAACAAGACCACGGACTTGCTCAAGGACACAGCTTACAAACCAACAGCAAAAAACGCTACAACTTATCTGGCTATAGGAAGGTGCTAATTTTCAAGACTATAATCAGATCCTTGCTCTGCTATGGCAGTGAAACGTGAATCCTGAGGTCTTCAAGAGAAAGGTGCTACGACGAATCCTCGGACTGGTGAAGCAACATCATGTATGACGAATTCGGTACAATCAGAAATTGTATAGTAGGAATTGTAAGTATCTTTTGGGACTTAAAGGTCAGAAAAAATCTCGTAATCGATTTTTGTTATCCTCCAATAAAAAGAGCAGAAAACTCTCTTAATGATTGATGCTGCTTTAGCTTTTTGCCTTTCCAAATAAAAAAGTTATATTGAGGAATGACAACCGATTTTATGTGTGGTGTGGGGTCAATTCCATAAATCCGATTTTCCGTACTTAGTAAACGAAGTGTAAATGTTACTGATGCAGTATTACAAAAAAAGTGAGAAGTGGTTGGAAAACATTAGAACACAACGAATTTAACGCAACAGATAGGTGGCACAATAATTTTTAAAAGATTTCTCTTTTATTTATCGTCTTTATTATCGAGGTACACCAAACGGATATTCGCATATTGTACGGTCTAGATACAAAAAAAAAAATTTTCAATCCTTTCACCTTTCAATCTGGCGTTGAAAGCCAGATTACTATTCTATGCTACGCCAATATGTCTGGAACTGACGTACAAAAATTGGTCGTTATAGGAAAAAGTGATAAACCTCGGTATTTTAAGGGCTTATTCACAAGTTCCTCAACGGTTAGAGAGATAAGTGCGAAAATTTCCATTCTTCAGGCACCGCAGAACCAGCACCATACAAAACTGCTTTGCAGTATGGGGTTTTAAGGCTTTGGGGATACCGGAAACCTTTACCGTTGATAAGAATGGTGATGCGTTACAAAAGTCTGTTACAAATGGCGAAAAATATAAATAAATTTTTACCATGTTACCACAAACATGAAGTTTCAGTCAATGTTATTGTTATTATTGCAACAAGCGAGCAAAAGATTATATAGTTGAGTACAACGTTATACATGAGGAAGGAAAAATAAAATTTCCGAAAGCTTGGTAAAGATAAAAGGAAGCCTTTTTCAATTATCTAGCCTTGTCGTGTTGGTCGTGTATCCCGATAACTTACTTTAATGCCTAACAGTAACGACCGTTACTACTCCTAAACTATACGCTTAAACTTGGGGATTTATTCCTCATGACAAATAATGAGTAATAGGTGGAAAAAATTGTATCAAAAGTTTTTTAGTTTGTTAGATATCCATGAAATTTACTTTCAAATCAAGAATTAAGATTTTAAAATGATATCAAAGCAAGTGTTCCAAGTTGTTTCCAATATTTTCTATACTTACACAATTGGGTTTGCTGAATCCACGATGGTCAACTACCGCTGCCTAAACTAGGGTGTTGGCAGATTGTCTCGGCAGAAGTTTGTATCTGATTTCGCAATCCTTGCTCAGTATTAATTTCGGTGACGTACACTATGCTTTTTAAATGATCCCAAAAGTAAAAATCAAGGGGATCGTGTCGGGCTATCGAGGTGACCAGACCATTGGACCACCTTAACCTATCAATCCGGGAAACACATTATTTAGATGTCGCCGCATATATGAGATATCTAGGAAACCAAAAATCTTTTACTACAAATTTTTTCACGTATTAGCCATTATTTGTCATGAGGAATACATCACCAAGTTTATGCGTATAGGTTGAGAATCAGCCTGTATTATGCAAGAACGTGATGAACTTAATATATGTGTGAATTTCGTACAAGTGTTATACTTAATTGTTTTTTAGTGCTTATATTCTATTATTATTATTATTTTAATTTAAAATATACATTTTTTTATAGTTTGTTTCGTATGCTGCATACTTTATTTTAATTTATGCGTACTTCATTTTATTGGGACAAAATGCCTCGATTACGATGTGTCCCAATTGAGCGAAATCGAGTGTAAAAAATTTAAAAAAATGAGAGAACTAAAAACAAAATTTATTAAATAAGAATGTATATATACTTTTTCTGCATTTTATTGTACATTATAAGTTATCAATATAATTATAATTCGGTAGTAGTAACCCCCCAATATTGTTGCATCCTATCCAAATCCAAAGAATCAGCTAATCCCCTTTCTTGCATAACACTAAAATCGTACTCTAAATTATACGGCATCAACCGTTGCAAACTACCAAAATAAGCAGCATGCGGTCCCCCAATCAACTTCTTATCCAGCGAAAGTCTCGATGCGGGTCTTGATAAACCAGGATTAAAACTTCTCGTACTCCCAAATTGTTTTGATAAAAAAGATAAATTATTTCCGCCACCATCCGATGCAATCATTGGATTACTTCTCGATAAAGTACCACCTTTCGTCGCTAAAAAATTCGGTCTTGATCTATTACTTCTTGTACTAGTAAGCGTATTTAACTCCTTATCAAATAATAATTGAGTGTTTTGTTCTAACATGTATTCCCAACATTTGAATTGTTCTTCGGATAACGCGGAATCGGTATCTTCGGATCGAGACGATTTTTCATCTTCCGATTTTCTTGAACGCAAAGCTTTTGCAACTCCTCCACTATAACTTCTTCTGTCCGGTGATAATTTTTGAAATTGTCGGTTTAATTGGTTAATATAGTTTTTTGCGGATGAATTAGAATCGAATTGTTCGCTTTGACCGCTTGGAGACGATCGATCATCGATGATGTTATTATTATTTTTTTGTTCTTCCAAACAATTTATACATTCGTTGTGGAGAATTTCGCAACAACAGCCGGGTTGACAAGAAGTTGAAGATAACCCAGATTCGCTTTGATGACAATTCGTTTTATTTATAGTCTGTCTTAATTCTTTCATTAACAAATCAACATCGGTCCCGATTAAATTAAATTTAACAACTATTATACTTAAATTTTCTTCGGCCCCGTAACTTTGTGATAAATCTTGGAGTCTTTTCGCCGCTAAAATAACATTTCTTTGTAATGAAACTTCTTTAATTGCGTTTTCTGGTGTGATTACATTCCAAATGTTTTTATTCGCTATAATTAAATATTCATCTTGCTCGTTTAAATAAATTTCGGTAATTTCCGGGTCGGGAACCGTGTTTAGGTAATGTATTTGTGGATTTGTTCGAATGTTTTTGTTAGTCTTTCTCGATTTTTGCGGTAAAATCCGAATCGGGCCATTATTTCGCCCCAAAACCACTTTTAAATCCCCAACCGTTGAGATTTTCATTAAATATTTTTTAACACCGCCACAAAATGAATAATCAGCGGGAACTTTCGATTTTAAAATATGCACAAGAACGGCGTTTATTCGTTGAGTCGTTTTTAATTCACGAAAAGTCGATAATAAAGTAAATTTCATGTAATCATTACAAGTTTCTTTAACAGTTCGTTCTTCTAATAATATCCTAGGTACCACTTTATCGACGGAAACGGGAATTTCGTTTTGATTTTCACCGTCGAACATTCCAAATAATGCTTCGGTGTTGCAAAAAGCTGGTAAACGAATTTGAGAAATGTATAATCGATGCTTTGAACCCGAAGTTTCTGAAAATCCCACCGTCCAATTTGATTCGGTTAAATTATTTTCGCAGAATGGTGATGGCGATAAAGGAAGTGTAGATCGATTTTTTCCAGAAACATCAACTAAACTCATCGGTCTTTGAGATCGGTACATATAAAATTGTTGAGAATCAACGTGAAGCTTCGTATTGCACGATAAATCCAAAAATTTTAAATTCGGGGGAATTAAATGTGTTAAATCGACCCGATCTAATTGATTATGAGCTAAATCTAAAACTCTTAATGTGAGTAAATTAGATAATTTCGGAATGTTCTGTAATAAATTTGAATGGACTCTTAATACAGATAAATGATGTAAATTTCCGATATCTTCTGGTAATTTTAATAACTTATTACCAGAGAAAACCAGTTCTTCTATTTCACACCAATAAATAGATGAAATTTCTGGGATTGTCGTAAAATTGTTGTAGGCACCATGAAATATTTTTAAAATCTTCAAAAACGGTGTTATTTTCTCCAACGATCGATCGCTTAAACAATTAGCTGTGAGAAACAACTTTTCCAAAGCTAAATCTTTATCCGGTTTTGGTAAATCGCATAATCGGTTATTCGAGACATTTAAAACTTTTAAATTATAAATGGTTTTAAAAAAATTCTCTGGCAACATCGATAAACTATTATTTTGTAAAAAAAATTCTTGTATCGCAAATTTTCTTTGTATTAACGGCAAATATTGGATTTGATTGTAAGCCAATTGAATGGTGTGTAAAAACGGCATGTTGTTGCTAAACAATTCTTCCGGTAAGAACTTTATATTATTATTACTAGCGAATAAAGATCGAAGATCTTGGCAATTTGATAACCAATCTGGTAATACTTCTAATTCGTTGTAACTGACGTCGATATGTTTTAGGTTTAATGCGGGATGTTTTACCGAGAGATTTATTAAACCTAAAAATGAAAAAAAAATTATTTAAATTTAATTATTATTTAAAAAAGCTTACTGTTATTTCCTGCTATTAAAGATGTTAAGTGCTTTCCAAATAAAATTAGTTGCGTTAGATTATTTCTTGAACATTGTAAAATTTGTAGTTGTTCAACTGCTGTTAGATCCAAGTTTTCTATAATATTTTCGCTTAAATCCAGTTCTGTTAAATTCTGTGTTTGGGTACAAAAGATTATTACTATATTATTTAACAGGCAATCATAAAATTAGTCATTGTATGTATTATTAGCAAAGTGTAAAATCAAAAATTAGTATTCCGTATATTTTCATCAAGGAGAAAGTTACTGAAAAGTTATTAATGCGCTCTGCCGTAATTTAGAATCACCTCTAGGAAAGCTAACTTAGCTATCCTGAGGCCAACATTGTATGCAGACTCTCCCACAAGTCAGGATAAATGGGGTGAAGGACTGTCACCTCCTAAGAATAAGCGAGGTTCAGCTGGCTAGTTCTCTGCCAGGGTACGGCCGAGTTATCTCAAGGTAACGGGAAGTCATTGAGCTAATCACTCACACAGAGTGTATAAATTCAGAGCAATCAAATCAGCCTCGGAACAGAACGGAACAAAAGGCGAGAAAGAAAAAAAGATTTGGAACATGGAATAACAAAAAGCTAAAACTAGAACTAGAGCTAGAAACTATCGGGTTAAGCCATGTGTTAAGTTGGAACTTGTTTCTGAAGAAGATTGCAACATGGCATCCGAAACGTTAAACACTTTTTCAAAAGACGCACGCCTTAACCCGAAAGTTTCTAGGTCTAGTGTTAGTTTTAGTGACAGTGCTACAGTTAGTTCTAGTTTTAGCTTAATTAACACCGGCCGTGAAAGCTTTTGTACTAATGGCATAACATCCCTAACGGGCAAAGGGGAAGAGATGGAGAAATATAAGGTACAGCTTTTGAGAATATCGGAAACCAAGAAGAAGAGAAACGGAACAAAACATTTGGACAAGGAATATACGCTAAGATTCTCAGAAATCTCGGCAGATAATAGGGCAACAGAAAAAGTAGACATAATACTAGACGAAAGAAGTATGACAGGATGAGAACTCATAAATTAGAGAATCATAACACTAAGGCAAAAGGCCATTATGGTTAACCAGATCTGCCGCTGGCTCCTCGGAGGGAAGTGAAGTCTTAAACCATGAATGGCTCATTGGGCCTACGTAGCAATAATCAGACCCATGGTCTCCTATGCCTCACTGGTTTGGCGGCCAAAAATAAATCATATGACAGCACAACAACAACTAACACAAATCCAGGGGTTAGTATGTCTTAATGTAACAATGGCGACACACCACTTCATTTATATAGAAAAAAGGATGTAGTTCTAAGTGCATTATCACTGAAAACATGCTATTCGCTCAAGCTGATGCAGAGTAACCTAAGTGGACAGCTCGAATCCTCAAGAACTTATATTTAAATCACTTGATTGAAATTAAAACTGACGTTATTCCGACTGAATACAATTTCGATCAGCCGTATAAGGTCATATTTAGAAACAGGGATGATTGGACGAAGGGTGGTCCTCAACTAACAAGAACCTGGTACTTGCCTGGTACACGGATGCTTCAAAGACAGTTGGATCCGGAGTAGGCATGGGCATTAGTGGACCAAATAGCCGCAGCTTGGACATTACCATTTTTCAAGCAGAAGTACTTGCTATAAACTTCTGCACCACTTTGAACCTACAAAAGGGACAGAAAGGTGCATTCATAAACATTTTCACAGACAGTCGGGCCACTTTTCACTGATCAGAGAGTGTAGCAGCAACCTGAGAGACCTCATTAGGGGCAATGATGTTACGCTATGGTGGGTTCCAGGTCACAGAGACATTCGGGGGAATAAGAAGGCGGACAAGCTGGCCAAAGAGGCAGCGAAAACGCCCTTCATTGGATCCCAACCCGATTGTGGACTACAAAAAAGCCACTTAAAACAAGTAATCAACACTTGGGAGCCCTCAAAGGTAGCCGTACGTTGGAAAGAACTTGCAGGTCACAAACAAGTGAAAAGCATGACAACTGCGTCGCAAAACAAAATCAAAGAGGTTTTATGCCTCAGCAAAGGGGATCTAAAGACGCTCTCATGTTTTCTGACTGCCCATGCGCCCCTAAAATACCACCTCTTCCACATTGGACAAGCTGAGGATTAAACTTATCGACTTTGCAACGACGAGTCAGAAACGGCTGAACATATACCATGTAATTGCGTTTCCAGAGGCCGCCTAAGACACACAATTTTCGGTAAAACTCTTTTGACACCTACCGACATAAAGGAACAAAACCTTGGAGCAATACTAAGGTTCATTAAGGACCTACATTTTCCCTACACTGCTCTCTTCAGCCCGGCAGCAATAATAATGATAATCATAACACTAGAGCTACAACTGGAAAAGAAAGTAGGACTTATACAGGTATATGCAGATAATGCAAACAGGTAGGGATATAAAACCAGAAAATAACTTCTAACTTGCATTTATTATATATACAGGTGTCCTGAAACTCAACGTCAAGTGGGCACCGGGTGAGAGGCCAACCCATACCTGTTCTGGTAAAAATGAGAAAAATATTCTATGTTTCTTAGTTAAGTGGTGATAGATATATATTTGAAAATGTTAAAAATCGTTCCCGCACATCATATCTTTAGGTACTACGGTTAGAAATGTTCGCACTTGAAGAAGTAGAAACAATATTGATTTGAACTTATATAAAAATTATAAGAATAACAAATACGAAAAGAAATACATATATAAAACAAATATAAAAAAAGAATCCAAAAGGGCTATAGACCTCAGTCTTGCTGCCCAGTTCCCAATTGATTTATAGTGATTTTTTTAATAATGTATTCCTTATTAACCATTCTGTATCATTCTACTATAGGAATCGCAAATCATACAACAAAAGTCGTTAGATTTGCAAAAAAAAGAATTAGTTTGATTGAGTTAAAGTTGAAAGAATTTATGTCTATTAAGTTTGATACAGGATTTCTAAAAAAAGGAGTAGTACAACACCCTTGGCAAGTAATTTTAAAAGATGGCCTGTTTGGTCAAGGTTCCAAAATGGTATAACACTTGCCATTTTTCTTTTCTTAAAAAATATTATTGCCTGCTTTTTCTGCAAAAAATTGGTACATTCCATTTAAAATAACGAAGTAGGGGTCCATTTCCGATATAACCGGAAGTTGGAGAAAACTAAAAATATTTTAGCTGAAACGAGCACCTCGGATAAATGCTGTATGCATATTTTCAGATAAATAGTGTCAGTAGTTTGTCACATACATATAGACTCAGCTCGTCGTGATAGACCCTGTACAGGGTGTTTCAGGTTTTTGAAGCAGGACTTTAACAGTCGATAGATCTTTTAAAATTACCACAAAAGCTTCCTATAAAGAAGTAATAGGTTGACAAACACTTTGTTTTGGAGATATAGGGTGTTCAAATTAAATTTTTAAATTGATTTTTTTTTAATATTGCACGTGTACTTCAAATTTGGTATACCGGGGTTTATTGACATAAGAAAGACGATTGTGGAGTCCATTTCTTTACGGATTAAAATAACAATAATCTTTCTGACAGTAAGTATACTTTTTGACTTTTTGAATAAAAATTTTCTGTACATTTTTTAGCAAAAAGGCATTCTTATCAAAATGTGCATCATTTTCAAGATAATCGGCATTGGTATTTTTTACCAATTTTTTTAGAGAATATATATTAAGATAGTGTTAAATAGTAATAATAGTGTTAAAGTGTTAAATTAATTTTTCTTATTTGTTAACGTGTTAAATTCATTTTTCTTGTTCATTAATGTGTTAAATTCATTACTCCTTAACATGTTAAATTATTTTTTTTTATTTTTAAATTTTGTTTGTTGTTGCATAAAAACTTTATAAAATGCCGTTTATTTTTCCTAACCAAGAGTTAGGGGATATTCATTTTGTTTATGGATTTGCAAACCGAAACTCTGCAGAAGCAGCCGACCGTCATAAGAAGTTCTATTCTTCCTTTTTCACTTAATTTTACATTACCATTTTGATGAACATTTTTGAATTTATCTTGTTGACGTTTATGATAGGTTTAAGTGGACATTTTCATTTTTACCTTATTTACCGTTAATTAGACAATGTTTTGTAAAAGTAATTACACTCTCAAATGCAGCTTACTGTATAGTCATCGAATGATGTCAATTTTGACTAGCGATCTTATTTAAAAAAAATCAAGTTGGCGCTGCACCTTGAAAAGTTTGACAGATAAACAGTTGAAAATTTTGTTAACAAAAGATTTTGTTTAGTCAAGTTTCAAATTTCATATTGATCCGGCAACATTAGATAATAAAATTCATTTTAATGCTCTTATGAAAACAAACGAAGACATGGACAATGAAGTAGAAAAGTTCTTAAAAGACATACTTAAAAAACGCAGCTTGGGCCTCAACACCAATTTTAACACCAAAACTAATTCTAATATTTATCCTAAATTCATTAGAGACAAAATTGCAGAAAAACGGAAAGCAAGAAAGAAATGGCAAACCAATAGAATTCCTAGTGATAAAACTAAATTAAATAAAATAACAGCCGAATTAAGAGCATTAACAGATAGACACAAAGAAAATAATATTCAAAATTACTTAAAAGACCTTCGATGTACTGACGATGCCAGTAGTGATTATTCTCTGTGGAAGGCAACAAGAAAGCTTAAAGTTCCAAAAACACATACACCTCCAATTCGAAATAATAATGGAAATTGGGCTAAGTTAACTGAACATCTGAAAGAAACTTTTACATCAAACAGTCCAACAACTATGCTAAATAATGTCCCTAGCGTATTTCAAAGTGATCAGCAGAGTAATACACCATGTGTAAGAAGGAAAGCACTGTATTAGGAAATACAAAAACTAAATATAAAGAAATCAGTGGGCTATGACCTAATTAATGGAGAACATTGAAACATCTACCAAAAAGGGCAATTACAAAACTATTACACATAATTAATGCTGCTTTTAAACAGAAATACTTCCCAAGCATATGGAAAGTTGCTGAAATAATAATGATACCAAAACCTGGTAAACCTCCCACAGATGTTACATCTCATTACTACCCTTACTATTAAAACTGCTTGAAAAATTACTATTAAAAAGACTAAAACCTGACATAGAAGAAAAAGCCCTAATACCAACACATCAATTTGGGTTTCGGAATAAACATGCAACAATAGATCAAGTGCATAGAATAACGAATACTATCGAAATACCAATGGAAGAAAATAAAGTCTGCTCCGCCGTATGGTTGGATGTTGCACAAGCTTTCGACAAAGTCTGGTTAGATGGTTTAAATTACAAACTAGACCAAATACTACCATCAACGTATAGTCAACTATTAAAATCGTATCTTTCTGATCGATATTTTAGAGTAAAATACGAAAACGCTTATTTACCAATCCTCAGGTACCATAAACTTTAACAGCTACATTCGCAGACGACACAGCGGTCTTTGCTGTTGCAGAAAATGAAGTAGTTGCAGCAAATAAGTTACAATTGGCATTAAATTCAATAGAAAACTGGACCAAACGATGGCTAATAAAACTAAATACAAATAAATCGACATACATAAACATTACTTACAAGAAAGTAAACTATGTTCCAGTACACATAAATGGCAATGCAGTCCCTTACGCCGACACCGCAAAATATCTTGGTATGACGCTGGATGCCAAACTCAAATGGAAAGCTCACGTCAAAAAAAAAACGTGAGGAACTTGATATCAAATTTAGACAGCTATATTGGCTTATTGGCAGAAAATCAACGCTATCACTAAGAAACAAGTTGTTAATATACAAGCAAGTATTAAAACCAAAATGGACATACGGAATCCAACTGTGGGGTTGTACCTGCAAGACAAATGCAAGTCTGATTCAAAGGTTCCAGAACAAAGTACTAAGGTGCATAATGAATGCACCCTGGTATATAAGAAACACCGACCTCCATCGCGACTTGAGAGTAGCATCGGTGTCATCAGAAATTGCATCATTCGCATCTAAACATGAGAAGAAAATGCACGATCATCCCAACATCAAGGCCATCCAGCTTCTCGACAACGAGGATGTCCTACGTCGTCTTCAGAGGATGAAGCCGTTCGATTTAGATAGACTAGTGCCCTAGTCTATTCAAACGCGAGCAATAGTGCGGAATTATAACAAAAACAATAATACCCAATACGTGTGTTCCGCGTATCGCAGTGTGCGCGTTTTTGTGTTTTGGTCTTAAAACGGTAAAAATATGACAATATTTATCTATATTATGGGTAAAGCAGACTGGACCACTGGGAAAAGCTGCAAAACATTATCTAGTTTAATTTAGTGTTAAAAATAAGTAACTAATTAGTATGTATTTACTAGGTGTTATACAATTGTGCTATGCATAATATAGAAAAAAAAAATGTTGATCCGGCAAGTACTTTTGGAGATATTAAGCCGGTTCCATACTAAATGTACACTTTGTTTATAATATAAGGTACCCAAGACGCAATATACCAGAAAATGATGCTCACACATCAGAGAAGAAATATGCATATTTTTGGAGAAACATTTTCTGGAAAAGGAAACCGGATGAATTATTAAAACAATCACATACATGCAGAAGAATATATCTGAAAGCATTGGCAATATATTTGAGGAGTCCTTACCTCGAGAATGGAGTGCACATGACAAATTTACTAAAACATTGATAAAAGTTTATTTCTTTATACGTATTCGCGTACAATTTTAAGCATTTAACCTATTTGAAAAATTTTTTTAGAATATGTACATAATCTATTTTAGTTTCTACACTTTGTTAATAACATATAGAAAAATATGAAAAAAATGGTTCTTATTTGAATTTTTTTATTACTAATGATATAAGAAAATTATTATAATGTTATTGGTCAATATGATGCCAATTTTCGACACCCTCAAAATTGTTAATTCGCGTTGGGTTGTCCGCCTTGATAAATTAGTATTATGAGCAACTTTCTTATATCACTAATATTAAAAAAGTTATTACGTTAAATTTTGAAGATTATACATCATACAATAGATAAAAAATTACATACCCCATAATTTCCTAAAATTATATTTCCTTTTAAACGATTTCCTCTTAAATTTAAAGTTGTTAAAATATTTGTTTTTGACTGAAGTGAATTATCCGGTTTGATGTGATCTGTTTCCTTTAAATTAAAATCAAGTCATTAAAATTCGCAAGAAAACTAAACAAAAATATTAAAAAATAGTTTTCATTGGGTAATACCACAAAGAGATCCATGAGAGTGAAGATACTATGTTGTGATTGGGTAAAATGGATAATTGTAGTTTCGAAATTCTTCAAATTATTTAGTTTGTTTAAGAAATGTTAAACAAATTGATATAATATTGTTATATGTACTTACGTTTAAAATGATCGCCCTCATATCTGCAAATTTATCCGGCGGTAAAGCCAATCTATTATTGGCGCATTTCAAAATTTTTAACAATCTCAAATCCCAAAGAGTTTCTGGCAAGACACTTATCACATTATGATCCAAAACCAATTCTTTCAAACTGTAATTTCAAAAGCAATGAATAAGAAACTTTAACCGTACCACGTAACACAACTTAGTACTACAAATTAAGCTACAGTTAGACGAAGAGAAGAAAAGGAAGAAGAATACGCTTCAAAGATTTCTGTAGAAACCGAAAGTAACGGCGGATGAACAAATAGGACGTGCGAAGGCCATCATCGATAAGTTTTCTTTTATCACTTCAAAAAATTTATCGATTTCAAGTAATCCAACGGTTTTAATTTTTGTGAATTATAAGGATATTTAGCGAGGAAAAGTTTTTTTATGTTCAAATGAGGATTATAGCTGAAGGTGTGACGTAGTACATTGCGCCGTGCCGTGGGTATTGGATGAACTGCTTTTAGTTCGTTGTTTGGAACCGTTTAATGTATTCTCGTCTCGAATGAGCAGGAAACCGTGAAGAAAATGAAGTGATGCCTTTTCCGTTTTTAAATGTTTTATGAAAGTACCAAGAAACAAAGATCTATTTCAAAAACGGTACTAAAACGGAATTACCAAAAATATAGTGTGTTTACTAATTTATATTTAATTTTGTCAGTAAATGGAAGATTACGATTTAACAGTATTTAAACCTTAAACATAAATATTTAACGACCTTTCGCATGGTTATGAGAAACAATAAGAAAGAATATAATATTAAAGATTAAGAAAAGATTCACGCCACTTCATTGGTTCGTCAATGAAAATTGGCTTTTTTTCACTATTACAAGTAACTTTAAATTAACAAAGAAGGTGTGAAAAATCCAAAATTTCCAAAAATAAAAAATTAATACGAATCATTACATTGAACGCAAGTGGACTAAACCAATCTGAGAACTAGAGGTATTCCTATTAGCTAGCCATATAGACATAGCGGTCATTTCAGAGTAGCACTTTTCCAATAAGAATTATATCAAATTACAAGGATATGATGTCTAGTAGACTACTCACACGAGTAAACAACCACGAGGAGGTACAGCCGTGATCATAAAACATAATATACTACACTTCCAAGAAGAGGAGATCAAAAAGCATGTAATCAAGCATACTATCAAGTGAGTAAAATAAAAGATTGCTTGTCTCATACAACAACAATACAAAGAATTGTTTGTAAAATTAGATCCAAGGTTCATCATTGAAGTAGATTTCAATGTCAGGCACCCAGCGTGGGGTTCGCTGTTGATAACATAAAATGTAAACTGTAATTATCATTCAGGTCGTATCGGGTGCTTTATTTTCAAGAACGTTTCGACAAGTCAAATCAAAACTGAGAGCCTACGTGAATTAACATCTCAAAATCATCAAAAATGCAATGAAACAAAATCTTACTGATAAATATACTGATAGTATATATACTGTTAGTTTAAACGCAACACTAAAAATAAAGATCATCTGAGGTTCAGGCTCGAAATCTTGTGGAACAAATTCGAACGCTCGAATGGAGGCTCCTTCTGTAGCCAAAGAAAAGTCACAACATGAAGTTAATTATCTCCTTGAAATTAGGGATATCATAGAAGAAATATAAAAATATATTAAAGAATTTAATCAGAGATGGTTCGATAAACATCTTTGTAATTTAAGTCAAAAAGCAGGTGAAGACTATTCACTATGAAAAGCAACTCGTAGATTCAAATGACCAACTGACGTCTGTGCAACGACGATTACACAAAACCAATGGGTCAGATGTACCGATGAAAAAACTGAATTATTTGCCCAAGATCTAAATTAATATATTTAATCGGAACAATACACAGTTTGTAGTGGGTATAACACTTGATTAATAGCCAGACATAACTATGAAGTTGATTTCACTAATTAATATGCTGGCCCTGGAAATCGATAACAACAGTAACCTTAACAAGGGTCCTCAAATTGATGTAATTTCACCTGGCTTATTAAAAGAACTGCAAAGAAAAACCATCACCATGTTGATCATGTTGTTTAATTCCTCCTTGAGACTGAAAGCATTTCCCGCAATGTTTTAAGACGACACTGATAATGATGATTATACAGGTCTATCTCGTCGTTACCTGCAATCTCCATATTATTTGAAAAATTACTGTTAAAATGTCTTAAACCACTCATCAACACACTAGATTTCCAGTTTAGATTTCAAAATCACACGTGGTCATAAATCAAGTGCATAGAATGACAACCACTATTGAGCATGCATTTGATGAGCAAAAATGTTGTCCTGAAGTTTTTGTAGATGCTTTACAGGCGTTGAACAGGGAGTTTAAAATGTCACATGAATGTTGAGCATGCCCCAACATTGAAACCGATCTTGGCTGAAGTTCCATGAAGCGGTGTTAGGACCGATCCTTTATCTACTGTATACTTCAGATATTTCAGTTTCAAAAGATGCTAAACTTGGAACATTCGCCGATGATAATGTTAATATGCTACAAAAATTATCTCAAATGAAGGCTATTGAAAAGCTTTAATCATACATCTTAACAGCTTTAAAATCTGTCCGCGCCATTTTTGCGTTGCGGCAAATAATCAGCAACCTAACAGAGTCTCTGGAGATTCTCTAACAGATTCTTTAAACAGAATCAGAAAAATATCTCGATTTTCACTTTGATGACAGACTAAACTGAAAACATCATGGTAGACAGAAACCCGATTAAGACTCAAAAGTAGACAAATCAAAAAGACTTGTTTATCAATTCATAATTAAGCCTACCTAAACTCACGGAATACAGATGGGTTGTACTAAGACAATCAAGAACTTCATGATAACCTCAAAATCAAATGGATAATATACGAAATAATCCAAAATTTAGTAGCGAAGTATGAAATAAGACTGCTATGACATCCCAATGTTGTAGCCATTCAACTCCTAAGCAATATCCAGGAACTCAGCAGTTTGAAGTCAACAAAACCTGACGAACAATTATATCGTCAAAACTATTATATTTAGTTAAAGTAAAATTTAATCTTGGCAAAATGCATATTGATGCACATAGCCCTAACCATGACCAATAGGGGCGATATTTAAAAAAAAACGACAAAAAATACAATACGAGGATTTCCACGGAAAATATCAAAACATTAGTAATGTTTAGAGAGTCTCAAAGATGCACGCTAGAGCTGTAAACACAAGCATTAAAAATCACAGGGTGTCTTAGACAACCATTTTAAAGAAACAAATATATGCAAGTAGAGTAAAGTCAAAATATACAAGGCGATAGTTTGACCAGTACGAACCTAAGAAACGGAGACCACTGTAGAAACACAGAGAACAAAGCAGAAAATAAGAATGGTAGAGATGAATAAACAAGGCAGATGTTCCAAGAAAAGGAAGCGGGAATGGAGTCAACCTGTGGACAGAATGGTGGAAATTGAACCCCTTCGTGGTATATCGTGTATAAAACAAAGTTGGTAAGAATATATCTCCTTGAGAGACTTCAGCCCTTATAACTCTATTACTTAAAACTGACTTAATAATTTTTAAGCAAACGGTACGTTCTTGAAGATATGAGATGTAATAGAGATAGATGTAATAGTTTAGATTTCAAGCCTTCTAACCACATGGAATCAAAAGTTTTGGCAACATCTGTTGTGTGTTGCTTATTTTCTAATCTAACTGATAAGTCCTTAAATGACCTGGTTGAAATCCAAATTGCGTTGTTGCTGTGTTAACATTCACAGTTTCGGAAGGTATATGTGGGGCGAAAGTTGACTCGAGGTAATAAGCAAAGGCTAGGGTTTTTTCTTCATCAGATCTCTTCGTATTTTTGCAATATTTTCTTGGTAGTTACCCACAATTTGATGGGATTCCACAGCTCTTGTGGCGATTTATTTATTTATCTTATGTGAGTACATAAACAGGTCGAACCAAATAACACTCTACCACAAACAACCAATTGTGTACAAATAAAATTACAGTTCACAATAATAATAATGAAATAATATTAATGGTACAAAAGTGAATCGAAAGGAAAAAACTTAAGACTAAGTCTAGGTGATATAAATATATCACATATCAAATGAACGCTCGAGGCAAAACACCAACTGCAGCAAAGAGCAATTTTTTAAATCCATAGAAAGAGTACTGAAACAGATCTATGTTAACACGATTTGCGGATCTTGCCATTCTCAAAGAGTTTTGATAAGCATTGGTTCTACGAGTAGCTGTCATAAATAGAAAGTCAAAGCGAACTAATCTCGGAGGAACATGAACACATATAGAACCGACAAGAATTGGAGAATCACACTTGTTGTTCAAAAGTTTATACAAATATAACATATAATAACAATAATAAAAAATGCCTTTACTAATAAGTCGCAAAAACGAAAAAAAAAACAATAATACATTCTTAGAAAATAGACTTATTTTCTGGACGAAGTTCAGTTTGGTTATTAATCAACTACTCTTCCACTTAATCCAGAATATATAGAAAATATATATATGAAATAAAAATGAAAATATTTATAATAATACCAACAAATGTAAAATGAAGAAAAAAACAAAATAACAAAATACGACGACATGCCAGTATGAAGCGGTGCATTAGTATCTCAGAATATAAAAAAAAAATTATGATGACTTAAGCAAGAGGGAGGATTTTACACCTCAATCTCATAAGGTGCACTGGTAGATCATTGTACGTTTTGGCTATCTGCTAGGAAAAGGATGCGAGGCGCGACGTGGTACCGTCAATACATATTTCCTTCTTACATTAATATTATGGGCATCGCTTTTGAAAGAAGGCGTTGCAGCAAGTAAGGAGGCCGTTGACTTTTAATAATTTTATAATATTGGATGTGAAGGTTAAATTATTTTTTTGTACTATATCGATGTTATTTATTTATTTATTTTCTTCTACATGTTTCGAGAAAACTGGGCCTTCACACAATCCTCCATTATCAAAAATAAACACGCCACAACAACGAGAAGATATCAAAAGTTATATAAATAATCAATAATCATCAATAATATCAAATAACGAAAACAGAACATGGTGAAGTTTTTATTCATAAATTTGACGATCTCTTCCTGATGATGAGGGCCCAGTTTCCTCGAAACATGTAGAAGAAAATAAATAAATAAATAACATCGATATAGTACAAAAAAATAATTTAACCTTCATATCCAATATCACACGATGTTAAGAAGACAAATAAACGCAAGTTGCATGCAGTTTACGTCTGTTCTTCATGTTCAACCACGCAGTCTCTGCCAACTTATGACTAATCTGGTCATATTTACGAATTCCGTAAATAAACCTTAGACAACCGTTCTGGAGGTTCTGGATACAACGCCCACTCGCCCCTGTTAAATTTGGACCATAAACAACGTCGCAGTAATTTAATTTGCTTACAACCAAGCTATCACAAAACATAATTTTTAATTTCTTATTTAAGACAAGAGATGGAGGGTGCCATACCCACCCCTCAAATACCTGGCCACATGCTCTTCAAACCTCAACTGATGATCCAATGTAACTCCTAAAATTTGTATATCATCAGAAACAGTAAGAGGTTCGCCATCCACCACTAATTGACCGGAAATAAAAGGTTTAATTGCTCTCCTTGTGACACTACCGCAAAACAGTAGAACAGAGGATGGATTAAGCACAAGCTCATGGCGTTTCGCAACATCAGAAAATAATGGTACATCTGAGTTAAATGTTATGCAGGCATTATCCCAATTATTTGGATTAAAATTTAGCAGAAGCTGTGTATCATCTGCTTACAAATGAGTCGGCGAATGCTCAAGAATTTGGTTAAAATCAGATGTATAAATAGAGAACAATAGTGGCCCCAAAATGGACCCCTGAGGGACTCCACGAGTAACAGTTTAAGTAACAACATGATTGATTGTATTAAACGTTTTGGTGAAGTCCAACGATAACAAAGTGCGGCTTTCCCGACCTCTCTAGAAGCAAATACCTCGTCTGTAAGGTTCAATAATGCTGTTGCGCAGCTGAAACCCTAACGAAACCCTCTCTGCTCTAAGTTGCCTTTCCAAGACTCTCTTTAAAATTTTTGACATTACTTGCAGGATACTGATCGGTCTAAAATCCCTTAGAAAATCCTTTAGGCAGGATACCTAAAGGTCGACACTTTAGGTAACGCAATTACTTCAGCCCTCTTCCAGGCATCCGGAAAAACTGATTGATGAATAGTAGCGTTTATTACGTGAGTAATATAAGGAATGAGAAAACACACGTCAATCATCCAGGCTGAGATACCATCAGAACCCACCACTGCAGTTTTAATGTTATTAATTATTATTGTGGGTTCGGTGACTAACTGATGTAAGCCAATAGAAGTGCAAATCAGTAAAGAAGTGTTGTTGCCCACGATAATTGTCGAATGAGATGTAACAATACTCTCACAAAGGGTATTCTCCAGTGTTTCGATAAAAACAAGAAGATTAAAATTAGGGGACCTATAAACCACTCCAAAAGTAATACCGACTTTTTTTCCTGCATCAACAGTAAAAAATAGTTGCTCAATAGAGCAGGAACTGTTTAGAAGCTGAAATCGTATTGAGTTTCTTATGTACACTGCCTCTCACGATCCCTACAAATCAGACTGCAAAAGCGACGTTGGCCGAGGGTTAACATACGAAAAGAAGTGCAAGTTGATTCGTAATCAATGTATTGAACGGAAAATTTAAAACAAAGGTATTTGTGGAATTTAGATTGAATACGCTCAATTCTAGATTTATGCGAGTAATGCTGAGGATTAAAACGACGCTGCAAAAGTTAAGTGTGCTGTTTAATGAATGGCAATTATTTAAAGCAAAAAGCATGTAGAGTGTTTAAGTCAGATTGGAGTCTAGAACAATCAAGAGGTGAGGTGATACGGAGAAAGAGGTTTAAATCGTCAGTATACATTAAACATTGGGCATAATTAACGACGTCAAATATATCTTTACATAAATATTAAACAGTAGAGGATCCAGATGGCTACCCTGGGGAACACCAGAAGGAACCGATACAGGATTAGAAAAAAAAAAACCATTAACCGAAACAATCTGTTTCCAACAAAAGTTTCCCCTGAACATCAAAATTAATTAGTTTAAACAGAAGTAAGTTGTGATTCACCCGGTCGAAAGCTTTGTTAAAATCCGTATAAACTGAATCAACTTGATAAGAATCATCAGAAGATAAGATATACTGGGTATATTTAAGCAAGTTACTCTCAACCGAGGGACCAGCAAAAAAACCATGTTGTCTACAATTGATTTTAGACTTCAGGGTAAAGAATGGACGTGTTTGAACCATTTTTTCAAATACTTTCCCAAATGTGAGTGAGCTGAGTGATGTGAGCTATTTCTAAAGTTTCAGTTTTAAAAGAAAATTTCGAGTTCGTTCCTCGTCCGATTGCTCCTTTTCCCTTTATTAAATCAAGTATATATTTAAGCGGTAAATTACAATTTGAATGAAGTAATTATGAATGAAGTGAAGACGTGTAATAAAGATGGAACACGCCGATGAATAATGATAGCCATTAAATGTGTTATGAAAATAAAGAGACGTATATAAAGAAATAATGATTCGAATCTAAATACAGATTAACTTTTATATTAATATTTAGGAAAAAATAAGAGAACTAACAAAACATATATCTAAAAAAATTCTTTACCTATATAATCGTGAACGAAAAACCCAAATTACGTAACATACTTCAAGAACCTACTCGAAATAAAAACTTTAAGTCGCAATTTAAAACGGTTACTCCACTAACCTATTGCTTCCAACTCAAAAAAGTTTTCTCTTTAACTAAGAAGAAAAATTGTAGATATTATTAAAAATAAATAAACTTACTTTATCAATCTGTTAATTTCTGGCGGCAAAACACGAATATTATTATCGGATAAATCCAACATAGTCAAAGACGTTAATTTCAAAACCATACTCGGAAACATTTGCATCCCATTCGATCGAAGACTCAAATTTTCCAAATCCATTAGGGTTTCTATTGAACTATCAGATAAAATAACATCTTCAAGGCAAAACGTTTCAATTTTATCATCATCACAATTGATTATTAAATTATTCTTCGGTTGTTGCTGTTGATGTATCGCGTTCAGGTTTAATCGCTTCGATGTTACATCTTTCGATTGATTTAATTTGAAAAGGTCAATGTTCTGAAATACAACACCAATAGAAACAGAACTACGTTTAATTTTCAAAATACAATTTTCTTGAAAATTATAAAAGATTTAAATGAATAAACAACTTTCACTTAATTTTTAAAAGAATAAAAATGAAAGTTCTCTTAGAAGAAGTGTTTAGAAAGATCGTATACGTAGAGAGCTTTATTGTTCTCTGTTTTTTTAAATCTTGATTGTTATCTCACTATCATTGTTACGTGAATACCAAAAAGAAAAAGTTAAGTTAAAAAGAATTTAAACTTACGTTATCTGGGATTCTGTTCTTCGTTTCTTGATAAGTTTCCAATGAATCCATTTCCATGTTGTTATCCGAATCCGAATTTAAATCGACGAAATTCGTAAAAATCCTCATCGTTTTCTTTGGTGTACCGCTCAGTAACATCACAGACGAAGAACACATCGCTAATAAAATATTCAATAAAGACTTTTTAAAAAATTTCACTTTTTCTTTTCGCTATTGAACACGTTTACTAGAATATTATGCAAAAATCACTTTAATGTTTAAAAAAAATGTTTGTTTCTTGTAAGCAATATTGATTGCATAAAAAATAGGAAATCCTAAAAGGTTATTTTAGTTGTTTACGTTAACACTGTCAATTCAGAAATGATCACAATAAGGTATTGTAATTCTAGTGTGCGGATACGGTTAGAGAATGTACGAAGAACCGGTGTCACGGAGTGACAATGCCGTGACAATACACGCTCTGGTGAGTTTGGTTCAGAGGCTGATCACGTACGGATTAAAATAGAAAAAAAAAGGTTAACAAGAGAAGAAGCAGAAAAAAGAACCCACAAAAACACTAAATATAAGAATACAATAATAATGTGACACCTATAAAACAACTTTATTGAGAAATAGAAAGTGATTATTCTGAAATTAGCAACCGATTTTGAATTTCAATTGAAAAATTAATCTATCTTATTGTTGCTGTCTCATTTGAAAATCCTTCTCTACAACCACCTTGGTTATTGGTAACATATGTCGATCTCACATGTGTTACCATTAACCCTTAGTAAAATATAATAAATGCAAAAGATGTCCAACAATTAAAAATTTACAAGCAGGGATGGCAAATATAAATCGACATTTCGAGAATATCAGTGTATTTCATAAGAACATCGACATAGTTATAATTTATTTGTCAAGTTTTGTCGCCATCTAGTAGAAGTAGTACTAACTTGGAATTTGAGTTAGGCATTTGTAACTTGTGTAGAAAACTGCAATTATATGGAATATGGTTTCCTTGGGTTTCCCACAGACAATTACAAGAATGTCATATGGTTCACGTGGTTCATCCATGTAAGAGTTTCGCTCAGCGATATATTTACTATTGTTTTCATGGTACTGGCATTGAGTATCATGGTCTTTTCAAAGAGTAAAATTTGGCAGTATTTTAACCAACCATCTCGCAACGTTGCTCGTCTCGCTTTTCTTTGAATTTGGCTTCACTGGTCCATTAAAACACGTTTGTTTGACAATTCAATATTTGCAAACTCCAGTGTGTTTACATTTACGTTCGTGAAGTAATCACAATTCAAAATTGTAACTTAATTTTAATGAAACTATTTATGAAATAATATAAGCCCCAGAGTAGCTTATCTCACACTCACAAGGAAGTGTGAGGAAAGCCGCAACATCCGAACAGTTGAATAAGGCAACCATAAAACTTCTTCATAAGAAAGGCGATATAACGCAAATACAAAATTATACACCAATCAAAAAGCTCGCTCTCTCAAATATACAAGCTATTTATGAGAATCATCATTAAGATATGATAGTGAAATTTGATCTCTATCGACCAGTCGAGCAAGCGGAATTCCGTAAAGTGTATGGTACTAATCTCCATACAACGAAAATTCTCATCGAAAAATGTATGGAATACAACAAGCCCCTAGTTCTCGTCTTTGTGGACATGGTTTGCCATCTCAGTATGTTTAAGCCCTCGCTGATTGTAGAATTGACTACCGCTACGTTGGTATTATCAAGAATCTATAGAAGAACGCGAATGCTGCCATTAAACTCCATGAGGACACCACCAACTTTAAGCGAAGTGTAACTTATTAAAATACATGTTCAAACGAACTAATATTGAGAAAATTGCTTACTTCCGCTTTGCCGATGATGATGGTTTTAATTGCGGATAACTTTAATGAAGCAATAGAAATGTTACTCGGAATTAATCTCAAAGGTGGATCAATCTCGGAAATATAAGGAACATGACTAATTTGGTTATCAATTGAAGTCTAAACCTTGAAATTCGTCTGGGGAGAGACAACCGATCCTACGAAAGGTAAAAGAATACGGTTAACCTGGACAGCCTTTGGATGATCATACCGATAGGGGACAGGGAGGGCAAACACAGAATTGACGAAATGAAGCAGTCACTACCATCACAAAAATAACAAGTCTCAAATGGAACTGAGCTTATTATTATATCTATCATGACATGGATATACATATGTATATGAACTGACGGCAAATAATCAATTCACTCCCCCATTAGTGATGGCATCTTATGTGTGGAAGGTGCATTTAAGATTGTTGTGGTGTCAAACGCTATAGCATTTGAATGTTTGATTACTTAACAGACTGGGACAGAGCGAATGGTGGGATAGGGAATGCAGAGAAGCCAAGAGAGAGGATAGAACGAAATTGAGACAGTGCCAGAGAGGGGAGGTAGAGATAGATAGATATATAGAGGCCAGCAGAAAATACAAAGAAGAATGCAAGCAAAATAAGAGGGAGCTGAAGGAAAGGGAGGCTGACAAGATTAAGGAGGTAAAAGAGGAAAATGAGGTATAGAGATACTTAAAGAGGATGAGGAAGGGAAGAGAGGAAATCAGCAGAGATATATAAATGACTGAATGGACAACCTACTTCATAGGATTGTTGGGAGGGGTGGAAGAGAGAAGACTGTGAGAGGGAGAGCGAGGGGTGCAAGGAGGAGAAGAGATAACACTGGAAGAAATGCAAGCAGTGTTGAGGGGACTAAAGACGAGAAGGGCGCCAGGAGAGGATGAGATCCAGAATGAGGCATGGTTGGAGGCGACGGAGACAGTGAAGAATTCAACTGCGAAATAAAGTGCGAGTGTGCGGAACCATTCAAAAAAATAGTGGTCTTCCTCCATCTCTACAAACATTACGACTTTCAAGACGTCAACACGGATTTCGTAGGAATTGTCAAGTATCTATAATCATAAAGTATGCAAAAGAGATGTAAATATTATATCTGCACAATTGACGGAATCCACAATTAGAAGTAAAAGATCAAATGCTCCAATACAAAAGCTTAATTACATCATAGATTATAACAGATATATGAAGGGCTTAGATCGCGCAGATCAATATCTAGCATACTATTCCATTTTCAGAAAAACAAAAAAATTGACTAAAAGGGTTGCAATATTTTTTATAAACTGTGCGCTGTTTAATTCATTTAAAGCATACACAGTTTTAAACGGAAAAAATATTACCTACAAAAATTTCTTGCACAAGGTGGCAGTTTCGTGGATGCAAGATGATGAAACTAATTGTATGGAACAAGATGACAATATACCTAATTCTGCACCCACAAAGACAGCAGACAATCCCGGAAGACCCTCGAAGTTCGGAAAACATAATAATAATAATAATAATTCACTTTATTGCCCAACAAAGATCAATTACAGGACAATATTACAAGAAAAAGAAAATAAGAAATAACACATGCCATAAAACAAATATAATTCACATAAACACTCTTACACTATTATTGATTGTTAGTTAGTTTACACATCCTCTGTACCGGGGAGTTGGCTAAAACATTGGATCTGCAATTCCTCAAATAAAACTGATTTGTACTACGTGTTGTACGAGTAGGCACCGCGAAAATGATCCGCGACAACAACCAACCACAATCCAATTCACCTTGCACTAACTTCTGCAAAAACTTGATGCACTGGTCATCTCTTCTTACGTCTAGTGCAGAAAAGTTGTGACGCCGCAGCAGGGATGCGTAATCCATTCCACGATCCGGGTATGATCCGTCCAGGCGTAGAGACAAATATTTGAGAAATCTCCTCTGAATTCTCTCCAATATAAGTCTATGACACACATAATGTGGCGACCAAATTACAGAGCCATATTCCAATTTGGACAATACAAAGGTCGAAAATAGGGTCTTGTACACACCGATATCAGAAAAGGCACGCGAGGTGCGCAAAACGAAACCAAGCATCCTCGCTGCAGAAGATGCAATATTTTCGATGTGAGGTACAAAAGACAATTTGCGGTCAAAAGTTACTCCCAGATCCTTGATTGTAGATAGTTTCTCAAGAAGAACACCTTCTATATAATAAGAAGATGGAAGAGGAGACAGCTTGCGTGTAAAACTAACCGCACCGCACTTATTGGCATTAATCTTTAGCTGATAACGGTTACACCATTCCACCAAGACGTCCAAATCCGACTGAAGACTGACAACATCACGGTCCGCAAAAATAGGTCGGAATAGTTTCAGATCATCCGCATAAGCTAGTACGCTTGATGAAAATTTGTCTAGAAGGTCATTCAAGAAGATAACAAATAGTAGGGGGCCTAGATTTGAGCCCTGAGGAACACCAGACCTAGCCGTAAACTCCATAGACGCATAACCGTTGTAGTACACATAATTTATACGACCCGATAGGTAAGAGGCAAATAGTTTCATAAACTTAGGAGATAAGCCAAAAGCACTAAGTTTATACAAGAGGACGTCATGATGAATCATGTCGAATGCTTTAGAAAAATCAGTGTATACCACATCTACCTGACCGCCCCTATCCAAAGATTCACAAATTACCTCAGTAACCACCGCGAGGTTGGTAATGGTCGAACGACGCTTGATAAACCCATGCTGATATGGTGACACAAATGACTGAACCTGTGGATAAATCATCTTGTAAATAATCTGTTCAAATACCTTAGCGAAATTGGACAATAACGATATTGGTCGATAATCAGTAATGTTGGTACGTTCGCCATGCTTGAATACAGGAACAATGCGTGAGCGCTTCCAAAGTTTAGGAAACGAGCAAGTGCTTAAGGATAGGTTAATTATTAAATGAAGCGGAACTGCAAAAACTGCACAGCAATCACGAATGAAAAATGCAGGAAGATCATCATCACCAGCAGTAAATTTATTAGGTAACCTTTTTAGGAAATGAAGAACCTCTTCTTCGGTGACATCGGCAACAAATACTGGAGGATACGTAGAGTGTACATCAACCATGTTATAAGCAGAGACACCAGAATATACTCCAGAGAATTGATCTGCAAAAGCATTAACTATTTTTTCAGGATCAGTGTAGGTGGACTTATCACGCATCATTTTTCCAGGAAGTCGAGAGGTCGTTGTTTTCTGTCTTATATAATTCCAAAAGTTACGGGGATCAGAACTAAGCGATTGTTCAGCACTAATAGTAAAGGAAGTATACGCATCAGAGATTTTCTGTTTAGTCAAACATCTCAGTCTTTTATATTCCGCTGAATAGAAAGCACTATTGCTTCTCCTCCACTTCCTCCTATAATACTCTTTCAACTTTAATAGCCGCTTAATTTCTGGGGTGTACCAAATAGGGTATGAGGATCCCCGACTCAATCTCTTAGGAACAAATAAATCCAAAATCTCATACAACTTTTTATAAAAAGCTCGCAAAGCATCATCCGCATTAACCTCCACATTTAGAAAAGACCAATCCGTGTAAAGTAGTTTATCATACATGCCAGGAAAGTTGGCCCTTCGAAAATTATATCGACCACC